GTTAGATGGTACGTGGATTAAGGCTACAGATATCTCTAGACCTTTTTCTTGTTGCCACCAAGGACATTCTAGTGAACTGCTCTAAATGTGTTATATATGAAAGTTCATTTACAAACGCTGGGGCCAGCGTGGTTTGTCAAGACATGGACTGTATCGCAGAAACGGGTAGCTAACTGAATTGGGGTCCCTCAGATGGCAGGCATGCGATTGTAGTGGCGTTCTTGCTGTTTGGGGGTTGGCATGATCTGGGCGTGCCATGCCGATGAGCTGGGAGTGGGCACAGTCTCCACAGCTGTGGGCACTGCGGCGCTCGGTGTGTGCACGACTCGGAGGGTTGTACCGAGTCGAGATCGTTCGCAGTTGCTGATTTAGCACTTGTGGGAGCTTTGAACGAACAAGTTATTTTAAATAAGAAAAGCACTTTTTTTCCCATGTGTGTAAATACGTGATGTGCCAAGTCTTTACAGTTATGATAGTAAATTGTTTTTAGTGGCCATTTGATACCTTTTTTTTCTTTGATTATTTCAGAAAATTGGAAATTCAGAAGCCCCTGTATCTGTGATCTTAATAGTATTCTCTGTACTTAACATTTGCAGTGTTTATGACCTTATCAGCTGTGTTGTGTTTTCAGCCATATAAGAACTGCAAAGTCCAATGGTACAAAAGATTTCACGAGATATAAATTAAGAAGTTGTGCGAAATTAAAACAATAAATCTACTGTACTGGAGTGACATACAGTATTTTTTTTTAGTTGTGGTCCAGCAGTTTGTGTGGTTTTAAATGTGCAGTAACCAGATGTTTGTTCTCGATGGCAAACTCATACTATAGTCTGTGTGCAATACTGCTCTGAATTGGAGCTCCCCTGTTCTACTTCTGCAGCCTCAACAAATATTCACTGATGTGAAAAAATTAAAAGGCAGAGGATAAAATAAACACACCTAGTGATGTATTTCTAGGTTACGTTGCAGATTTTCTCATTGTTTTTCGATTTTCATGCTTGGAATAAAAATGCAGAACCATTATAAAGACACTAGGCTCTAATGAGTGCCCTAGTAGGTATTGTTTGCTGTTGAAGCATAAAAACAATACATTTCTTCATTTTTATGTTTTTCTGGGGACTTCTTACTTTATTTTCAGGTATCTCTGCTGCAACGTTGTAATCAAAATACTGTAGCTTTTTTCAATATACACCTACTACATCGTTACAAAAAGATTCTAACTGAATATGTGAACTTTTACGAAGGTAGTGAAGGACTGTCTGGTAGGCAGTTGATTTGTAATGTAGAAAGGCACGTACCTGGATAACATCTGTGCACCGAAGAGCCAACACAAAACTGTCTCTCATTAGCTTATATGGTTTCCAATGCATATTTTATGAAGGGGCTCTGTACTGTATTCAGTATACTGTACCTGACTGCACCAATGGCCGCGTAATGTATCCAAACAGAGCAGTAAGAAAGCTTGTCACTTTAAGAAGCAATGGATGCCTGGATGGGGTTTTATTTGTGTAATTTATTTATTAGGATGTCTGCGGGGTTGGAGAACAGTTAAGTATTCAAGAGACATTCACTTGGCAGATAACTGACCACAAGATCTTTAAATACCTCTTTATTTTAATGCTCTTAGCTTGAAAGTGATGGTGCAAGCAAGCATACATGTATTTTAAGCAGGCTCTTGAGGCTTGGCTCTTGCCATTTCAACAAGCTTTTTGGAATCCTCAAGCCTGAATTGCCCATGCAATACTTACTAATAAAATAGGAATCATTTTTAGGTTTGGACAGCCTTCTATTCTATACATATTTACTGTTAAACAGAACATTAAAATAATGTAGCCCTCTCATATTGCATATTATTAATTTTTATTAAAGAGAAAGGAGCCTGTTCCCTTCCCTGTATAAAGAAACAATTAGGGCACTTTTAAAATGTATGTCCTGTGACCCTGCTCCCATCAAGCTAGGAGGAAATTGATCCACAACACCTCTTCACTGAGCTGTCCCCTCCTCCTTCCTTTATGTAATGAATCCCTGGCTGCAGGGAAATAAAGGCTTAAGTATAGTATCATCTGTTGTACACAGCTGTAAATTTAATCCCCCCAGGAGAATGGCCATTGACAGAGGAGAAACTTGCTTTCGCTGGTGCCTCATTGCTGCCTCTTTTTGATTGCATTGTAATGGCTTGTGCCTGGAGACTGCAGACACACCTCTACTCATCACCCTCACTGGAGCTCATAGGTGACCTCCGCTTAACGGAAAGGGGCACATTCATCTGGGGTGCTGTTGCTGTATTGTCTTGGATGTGACGGACGATTTTTGTTTCTAAGCAAGGATACGGCAGTCCAACAAAATTAAGGTCTGTAATATACAAATAAAACTCATGATGTGCCTTTTTTTTTTTGCCAAGATTCATTTTTAATCCGGAAGACCTAGCCTCCTTCACATTTAAAACTGACAAAAAGCTGTTTTTGAGGGCCACATTATGTGTCTGTTCTCTTTTTATAAATAAAGATCACTTCTAGTTTTACCCAGAAGAAATATAGTACTGTGGTTCTTGGATCTCCCCCCATTAGCGACTTTCCAGTATAATAAATTAGACCCCACACTGCCTTTAGGAAGTGTTTATGTAGTGTTTTTTTTAAATACCCGACTTTAAAGTTTTTGTTGCTAGACATATGAGCTTGTACATCATTTCAGCTTGTGGCCTCTTTCACTCTCCAGACAGACCAGCTTTAGTGCTTTTAGCATTCCTCTTACTGTATCGTTAACACTTAAGCTGTTTTTTGGAAACTGAGTGGTCTTTAGTTACACATAAATTCAACCCCTGCACATGTGTTATTGTTCTGTAAAGTAGCTTAATAGGATTTTATTTTGAAAGTATTTTTATACAGTATTCTCTTATTTTAAAAACAACACATCTAAATGTGCATTCTATAGCTGTTATTGTGTAGTACCAGTCAAATGTGGTCTTATTTCTTTAAGAGCATGCAGTATTTTTTATACTCTTTGGATTACCAGGCAGACCACTTCTGTAAACCACTGAGCTCTTCCCTAAAGTCTTGAAAGCAAACAGATTTGCACTCCAACATGCCATGAATAGTTTTTCAGTATTCCCTGCTGGCTGGGCGCCAAGGTCAGAAATGTTCCTTGAACTGAACTGCTGTCTCTGCAGTTCCCCTCTCACAGAGTGACCTGAAAAGAGATTCTTCTGCGTTAACATGGATAGGATTGGACTCGCCACAAAACTGTGTGGTAGTTCTTTAACAATATGATTAGGATTTACTTAGGTCTTCCTTAATATTAAATGTTGCATTTAAACCATGATCCATATTTTAATAATTTTATACCAATCATGGGAAGGATTATTACCGAATATGGATTTTTTTCAGGATTTACACTTGGCTATAAACTCAGACCACAGCTCAGATGTGCTTCAGCATGGGGATATATTGGCCATGTGTTGTAATGGCTAAATTATAAGTAGCCAGATGAATTGTGCATCTTAAATACCAATTTAGGGGACTCCGCTGTTTAGTTTACTGTTTTCTTTTACTGACTTTTCTGTGCATCCAAATGCTATTTGACTCATTAGACCTGTGAAAGGTTTCAGAACTGCTGTGTAATGTTTCTCAAGGGTTGGATGAGATTTCTGAGAAATCTGAATCTGAAATACCATTTCTTGAAGGTCAAAGAATGGGATAATTATGTATGTCTGGGGTTCTATTTTTTGCCTTGGATTAAACTGCACCAAAGTACAGCTCAGAACAATAAAGTTCTTGTTTTTGTGGACTGAATCTAAAAAAAAACATAGCTGAGTTAGATCCAAATGTAAGTTTGGTAGGGGAAAAAGCAGATTTGTTGTATATTCTTATCTAATTCAGGGAAGTAAAAACAAGATTTTGTAAAATCTTACAAAACGTCTTAGTTATGTGAACCTGAAGAGACAGGAATGTACAAAGTGTGAGGTCTTGACTGTTCAGAAATAAAAATAAAAACTTGGTTACCTAAAATGAGTTGAATGGTTATCTTAAACATAGATGTGAAATGTATAGTGAAGTGAATCAAACAATTGCAATAACATTTAGGCTGTGGTATTTTTTCCCTCCTGTACCTGTAAGGATACAAATGCATCATAGTGTTGTGCTTTTGTTTCATTTTGTTTATTCACTACACAGAACTTGGCGGAAAAATGGTCACATTCTCTGAGGTAGAGGGTGCGGTTAACATAGTAAAATAAATGCAACATTACACTTGGGTAATTGCACAGGAACTGGTGTTGCCTGAGGGTTTATATGTTCTGAATCCAGTACGTCAGCGCTGCTTCAACACTTGTGACTGAAAGCTTTCACAACAAGCTATATACCTGTTGACTTCAGAAAAACAAAGCACAACTTTCTGCACAATAGAGACTCTCCAAAACGCCAAGAATTTTACCCTTGCACTTTAAGGCATTGAGTATGAAATATCCAAAAAGAAGCATTTTTTCTGATTAAATATCTGTTTTTGAAATGTGTTAAATAGCTGTAGTGCTTTTACTTTTTGTAAAACATGAATTCTAAAATTGTGCAGCCTGGTTTGTGTGTTGTGCATGCAATTGCAACACCCTTTACAATTTACACGTGGTTGTGTGTTATTTTGTGATCTTTTGTGGTTTCTGTGGCCTTCTTAATTGTTTAAAGAGACCTTGATAATTGTTCAGTAACTAGGCTATCTTGGTTAAATCCATCCATTTGGGGGAAAAAGCAGCAAGAAGCAGACAGTCCACAGATTTTCTTGGCACTCTCTGTACATGATAATGCAAAAAATAACATTTTAACCCTATTTCTAATCACAGCTTTCAGATCTTATTTCCACCTGAGAAATATGCCCATACTTGTTTGTATTTAGCTTTTTTTCTTAGAAATGCCTTTTAAAATACTACCGTACGGGTGGTCTTTTCTAGACTTAGCTTTTGCAGTTTTGTAGCTTCTCAACTTGACTATCTGTGGTACATTTTGTGCTTTCAGGAGTTTGCAGCACTTACTAAAGAACTTAATGTATGCAGAGAACAACTACTTGAACGAGAAGAAGAAATTTCTGAATTGAAAGCTGAAAGAAACAACACACGGGTCAGTAACTGCTTGTAAATTTTAACCAGGCCATGCAGTCAGCTTTTCATACAATAGGAAGTTTAAAGATGAATGCCTGCATGGATTAACCTTGAACTGATCATGACCTTGGCTTAATGAGTGTGGGTATGATTTGATGCATGTTCATCAATTTTGATTAGACATTCCATGGTAAAGGTTAAATGATGATCATAAGACATTCTAGGCACTTTGTATTCAGTCACCTTTGCTGACATGTCTTAAGAGACCGGTATCCTAAGCATGGATTTTGTCTGGTTTGAAAATATCGGAGGAAGATATAATTAGATTCCATCTGAAGCCAATCTTGGATTGACAGGAAGTTCTGGTGATCTACGAAGACGGTCTGGGACCCATTTGAAAGGGGGACTTGGGTGGGCAGTTCTGAGAAAAATCTAGCTACTAATTAGAGTATGGTAACTGTTGTGTGGATTGAAGACCTCTGCTTCAGCACTGTTCTTCAAGCACTTTTTGTTTACATACATACAGGAGCTATTTAAATATCCCAGTGTATTTAAGTATCCCATAATGTGTAGGAAGTGCAGCTTTGCTAGGCACTTAAATTGCAGTTGTGTAGGAAGGCTTTTTATACAGCTTCTGGCGCTGCCCTTCAGCTTAATTTAGTAGGTTTTATTTCGGGTCACTGGAGTTTTTATCCTCTTTTTACCGTGCATATAAAAATGAAAATCATGATAACAGATTTTGGAAGTCACTGTTCTGGCCACTGGTAGCGTCCTCATGTATTTTAAATCCTGTTTGTGTGGCCTTTGTTTTTTATTTGGTTTTTGCAGCTGCTTTTAGAACACTTGGAGTGCCTTGTCTCCAGGCACGAGCGCTCTCTCAGAATGACGGTAGTGAAAAGACAAGCACAGTCTCCAGCAGGGGTATCCAGTGAAGTGGAAGTCCTCAAAGCACTAAAGTCTTTATTTGAACACCACAAAGCTTTAGATGAAAAGGTAATTCATGGCTTGATCTATATTGTATAAACCCCTTATTTGGTTATAAGAAGCAATAGCTTCTTCCTGATAATATGTATGGGGTTTGTGGTGGATGTTAATAAAATTTTGATGTAGTTTCAGTTATAAGTGACGTTACGTTAAACAGTTACAAATACATTCAGGAAAAAAGCTCTGCAGTATTAAATAGTTTTTTAAAATTCTATGACCTTTTTATTTTTTGTATGTATAGCATATTTTCCATTTGAAATATATTCTTTTATTTTAACCTTTACTACATGTTAATTTATGTGGTTGTGAATTATTTGTCCTTTTATCTTCCCTGTGGGGAAAACTTTTTATGGTACATGGATTAGATGGCCGATTTAACCATGGAGGAAAATGCGAAAATGTCAGTCTTGATGTCATTCATAGCTTCTATTGAATTATGTTCTTGAAAAAATTAGCATTTAAAATTTGGAATATGATTATAGTAGTCACTAATTCGATTTTAGTTTACATTGATGTGTTGAGGTATTAGCTTTTGTTTTTTTTTCCCCCAGTTACTGTCCTAGATCCAAATCTGAGTTTTTATGTCTTGTGACCAGCTTCTGCTTCATGCAGCAGTTTGTTTTGTTTCCTCCCATGTTTTTCTTCCTTCATGCAATCTAGTACATGGTTAACAGTCTCTTTGCATTGGCTTGTTAACATGTTTCCTGTCCAGGTAAGGGAAAGATTGCGTGTTGCATTAGAGAGATGTAGTGCATTGGAAGAACAGCTGGCGTCTTCACACAAAGAAGTAAGTGCCTGATCTTAATCACTCGCTTTAGTATTATCTGTAAATTTGATTTTAGGATGAACAAATAGTTTTAATGTGTGTATACACTGGGACTGATTATGTTGCTCTTAATAATATTGTTTACATTTGTTACTACACAGTAATTAAGAATAATCAGACCTCATCAGAAACATGTTGCTAAGTGATGGCGGTCATTAAATTTAATAAGCGCACTTACCTGTATGACCACTAGAAATCCACCCATAGGTTGAAAAATACAATTCATGACGATCTAGTTTAGCCAGTTTTCTTTTCTTTTTATGATCTGCTAATCGGTTCTAGTTTTTCCTTTATCTGGCACAACATCTTCATTTTATTTGGTTCTGCTGCAGCATTGTAACTGAAGTCAGTTTTCTCTGCAACCTGCTGTCCTGTTTCTTTGCTTTTAAATTTACAAGGCAAACAGCACTGTTTAAAACTCAGTTTGCATAGATTCTATCAAATGCAACACACCCTTAATTCATAGAGCTGTAGAGCAGGTAAAAGGATTAGAGAGTGATAAAGAATTAAAAGAATACAGGAATATTCCCTGGATCATACTCTGTAATAACAATGGAGGCTTACGTAATGGATTCGGAAGAATTATATACAAACTTCCTGATATCTTGGCATGTCGGATTTTGTGGTGGGATATTGTGAAACAATTTGGGCTATATAAAAGATTTTGAGCAAGGAAGTAATAGTGTAACCACATTTTGAATAGTAATGCCATCTCTCTTTCTCACGTGTGTGCCAGCTGAAGATTTTAACTGGTGGTTTAGTGAAATTGCCTTGTACGTTCAGCATCCCAACACATAACTGTGGTGCGAATTGCGGTTACAGACTTCACAAAGAGACTTTAAAAACACTAGCAGTTCCTAAAATACTATGTCTTTTAAAGAAAACCCTGTTGGTCTTTTTCCAACCTTACCAGTGATAAAATTTACAGTGTTATACTTGTAAATTATACTTTTTAAATTTCTTTTTTCATAACTCGAATGCATTTTTGTTGAATCACAGCTGATGATTTTAAGGGAGCAGAACAGCCAGAAGAAAGTATTTGTCGATGGAACAGTAGAGTTAAACCATGATGCTGAAAATACACCAAGCACAAATGGAAAGGTAAGGTTCTAATATTTCCATTTAAAACTCATAGCACTTTAAAGTTTATTTTCTGTTTTTTCTTACCATTTTTAATTGTTCAGATTTTGAGAAATAATAATCCTTGCAAAAGCAGTGATGATTAGTAATAGTCCTTAAAACATCTGTAACACCTGGTGATGAGCATTTTTAGTTTAGACGGATTTAGCTGTTCAGTGTGTTCAGATTGATAAACTGTAAGACAGTTGAGTGTGATTATTGAACAAGCTATGGAAATCGTTGTTAGATCACCGCGGACTATCTTCAGTGTGGTAAAAGAAAAGTCTTGATGCTCAGTGCAGTAAGTTTAATGCAAGTGTAATGCAAGTTTGGTGTCAGTTGGTGACCATAACTACTCTGCTGACTACCTTTTTGTAAAATTGGGAACAAGAGCTTTTGTAAGAAAATACATTAATTTTGCATTCTTATGAATTTCTGCTTGGCTAAAATAATGCCTTGCATGAATAGGAACAGTCCTAATATAGACGATAATATAGAACTAGGAAGAGCCCTTAAATGGGATTGATCTGTGGGGAACAGATAAGAACTCGTTAATGTGTTTTTGCTCCCTCTACTGGCAGTAATGTCACTAAATGATTAAAATTAACAACGTAGCCGAAGTGTCAATGGGTCATATAGAAATTAGTTCAATATAGTCTGAGCTCCTTCCCTACTTAATCCTTGAGTTCAACATATATGTACCTTTTTAATTTGTAAATGTTAGGTTCGGTCTACCCAGAACAACCACTATGCCTTATCCAGGGTACTGGGTTCAGTGTAAACATTGGTGGGTGTTACAATGGGGCAGCAGTGTGGCATAATGGCTGGTATTCTGGACTCCAGGCCAGAGGGCTGGTCAAAACCTGGATAGGATTTCTCCAGTGAATACTCTGATGTAAAAATGAATACTCTCCAAGTCATCATTCTGAATAAGTATAGCTCCATTGACTTATTTTGTCCAGTCAAAAAAAATAAAGTCTCTGTATGTTTCTTGGATGGCAAGCAGTCCTTATGCTGGGGTTGTAGCTTTCTTGTTAATTTGGACAAACAAAGTGGGGTGGGGAGGGGTGTGTAAAAATTAATTTCCCGGTAAAGGAAATTAAGCATTATTTGTTTTTGTTTTCATGCAGAGATCATCAGATGAATCTCTGAACCATGAGGAAGATCTTGCTAAAGTCCTAGAGCTTCAAGAAATAATAGACAGGCAGAGCAAAGAACTCAGTCAAATGAAGGAGAGACTAGCATCTCTCTCAAGCAAAGTGGTGGAACTGGAAGAAGATCTGGATACAGCTCGCAAGGATCTCATCAAATCTGAAGAAATGAACACTAAGTTTCAGAGAGATATCAGAGAGGTAAAACATTGTCTATTTGTTTTAAAGAACTAAAGTAGAATTCAAAACTTTAAAATAAATGGTGGCAGAAGGGTGTTATAAAGTTAAAAAGCATTTAGAAGAATTCTGAAATCTTAATAAGGTGTAGAATTGTTACTTTTGTTAAATGTTAAACAGGCGTTTTGTATTTTTTTGTAAGATTTGAGCAACAATTAGAATGTATGTACTCTTTTTTTTTTATATGCTGTGATTTTGTTGTTTGCAAATGTGCGTGGTTCTTTCCTGCACCTTATCAACATTGCAGATTTTTTTTGTCTTTGAATCAACAGTCCATGGCCCAGAAGGAAGATATGGAAGAGAGAATCACAACGCTTGAAAAACGCTACCTCGCTGCACAACGTGAAGCCACATCTGTACATGATCTCAATGACAAACTTGAAAATGAAATTGCTAACAAAGAGGCGATGTTCAGACAGGTGATTAAAACATCATTTTGCTTTAGATCCCTCCGCCACTCTGCTCAAGTTAACTTTTCACTTATTTCATGTACTGTAGGCTGCCTACTGTGGGTGGGATTTATCACCCTTGATAAAAACTGTAGGGAAAGCATGATTTTAGTTATGAGCCTCTTCCTGTGGACTTCAGAGCGTTGTGTGATACACTTTAGAGTTCCACCATTAATTGGCTGCTTAATCCGAGTTGCTGTTTCTGTTGGAATAATTCTAAGTGCAGCACAAAACTGAAAAGAAAGCACCACAATCAGGCAGAACAAAACAGGGCAACCAGGAATTAAGGGGGGGGGGGGGGATAGAAAATGCAGGTATCGGCAGCTCTTTTTTGCTTAGTTTGCAAAGCGGTCTTTCCTGCTACACTTAAAGGAATAAAAAGGCATGCTAAAATGTTTGCTGTAAACTTCTTAGCAAACGAAGAATTAAATATGCTATTTAGTAAACAATTAGTGTACAGAAAAAAGTTTATTTAAACTATGAAATCTGTTATTTTCTCTGTTTAAGGCCGATGTTGCGTGCTAATCGGTGGAAAATGGTGTCAGAATTTGCAGAGAGCTCTACTGACAGTTTCCATTGAAAGCAGGAAAGGCCTGTGGTGTGTTGGCAATAATTGTAGGTGTTAGGATCCAGTAAATGCATTCAAGCAGTTTCAAAACGTTTATGAAAGCAGTTTCTGAATAATCTTCTCAATGCAATATTTGTTTAAGATGCTCGCAAAATCACAGAGACTAGCCATGAGACTGTATCAGACTTTGCACCCAAATTCCCAATGAATGGTGCATTGTGAGAAGACTTTTCAGCGACTGTCCCAGAGAAAATATTGGCTTTATTTTTAAACCACACTGAGTAATGAAAAGTCCCCAAAGTGTCCGTTTTAAGCAAGGTTTCATTTTTCAGCATTATCATAATATAAATTAATCTCCATTGACTGCATAGTTACCGACATTAAAATTCTATATGAACGGGGAGAAAATTAAGTAAGTGCTCCTGCAAATGGAGCCTCTTCTCAATCCGAAGTATTTTATTTTTCCTCTAGGAAACGTCTTCAAATCAGGGCCTTAACACAGCAAACCATTACGTTTGTGTTTGCAGAGTGAAGAGAAGAGCCGGCAGTTACAGGAGAGGTTAGAATTGGCTGAACAAAAACTCCAGCAAACGATGAGGAAAGCAGAGACTTTACCAGAGGTAGAAGCCGAACTAGCCCAGAGAGTGGCAGCACTTACCAAGGTGAGTCACTGGAGCACTATTCTTTAAAATGGAGTTTTACCTCACTTTAAGAGGATTAAATACTTGCTTGTACTTTTGTTTTGCCCCTACCTCTCGTTTCTGACCCCTGGGAGGTGACATTTATTTTGCCATACCTACTCCCTCAAAATAAAATAAAGAATCCAGAGTGATTAAAAAGCCACATTTCCCTTCTCTGTCACTTGATGAAAACCAGGTGGAATATCACAATTTAAAAATACCTTTACCTTAAAACACAAAACTATTTTTCATACAAGATATGCAATACAGCAGTGAATGATATGAATGGACTTCTGATTTTATCCAGGTATGATTGTCGGGTATCGAGAGCCTTGAGATTTAACTTTCTTCATTTGTTTGAACATTAAGGTGTTCTGAATGATGCTAAGAGTAGTCCTAAGAAGTAATTGTTGCTGTTATTTCATGACTGAGCTGGTACATGTTCTTTGCATGGAGTCTAATGCTTCAAATGTTGTAACATTTTAGAATATAAATTGTTACACAACAATATTTGCTGGAGCTGGTGTAATATGCATGGACTAATATACTAACTTTCATGTACTTTGAGCATCTTCCTGTCTTGTAACTAAATCTGCAGTCCATTGTCAGTGTGTAGCTTAAAGATCCTGCTTATTTTAGAAGTTGTTTTTAAATGCATCCCAGTTCCTTAGTACTGGATCAATTTTAATTCATTCCTTTTTGAGAGGCATTAATCTTCACCATGATTTGTCATCTTGTTAAAAGATTTTAAAGATTAGAAAAACATTTCTGAGCAGATTACCTCATCTTAATATCCCATGTTTTGGAATTTCATTAAAATGTTGAATCTTTTCTTGTAAACTGTTTGGGAAAAAAAGTACTTTTCCAGAAATACTAGTGTTTTATGCATTTTCTCAAATTAGGCTTGGATTAAAGCCACCCCCCCCACTGTGCACCACAAAAAGTGTAATAAATGGCAATCTGTGGAAAATGTATTTGCGTGGCAATCATCCCAGACCTACAGTGATCCATTTGCTTTTGGTTTTTCTGTCCTTAAATTGAAGCTTTAGTTCTATTAAAGCTGCTTGTCTGAACTCTTCTTGTATTCCCGGTCTGTGCTATATACACTGACCCTTTCTGGCTTCTGTAGTTTGATCCCGCTGTGTCTGGAGACTCTGGGGTTAAAGAAGCTAAGTTGCTGGAACTTGCTTCAATGCTGAGGAAGGTAGATGATGTCCAGATACCCTGCTTGCCTGCTGCTTGCTGCTTTTCCCCCCTTTTTTTCCGTAATCCGAACCATGACAGGAAGTGTGCCAACCCACTTATACAGAGGTTCAGGAAATGTCTGTCAATCTGCGGCATACAAAGTTTGACATGGATAAAATTACTGTTTAAGCATGGGCTGGTTTTTTTTTCTTCCTTTTTAAATCATTTCAGATGCAACACAGTTATTTCAGCAGGGAATCCAGAACTGAAGAACAGATGGGTAGAGTCTAGTTCTTCCAAAAGATTCTGGACTCTGATGTATTTTTGAAAAAATTGCATTCCTTCACCTCTGTCTCATTTCAACTAATTTGACATGTTTAAATGCTGACTAAATAATGCGTTTTAAAGCCAGATTTTATGTTTTGCACTGCACATCCAGTACAGAGCTTGTTTCATGCTTCTAGTGCATTGTGCTTGTGCCCCGGCCTGTTTTCCGTGGGCTGGAGCCGTCAGAAGCTCAAACCAGTGCTGTGTTTTATTGGCAGGCGGAAGAGAGACATGGGAATATAGAGGAGCGACTACGGCAGATGGAGGCGCAACTGGAGGAGAAGAACCAGGAGCTGCAGAGGGTAAGCGATAGGCCAATCACCTTTGAAAAGAAGCCCAAACACTCAATTTCCTTGAGAAAACATGCATGCTTCCAGTCTTGCTTGGCTATGGAGTTATTAAAATAAATCATTTGGTGATCATGGCCCTGCACTTTTTTTTTCTGTGTTTTTTGTAACAGTGGATGGGTTAGTTTTGATAATGACTGAAACGTACTTTTGCAATGATGGAAGAAATTGGTATAATTTCAACAGTTGGATGCATATAGATTTCATAAACGGTACTTAGAGGAGAGCAGTATTGAGATTAATTGTTTGTGGTCATGTGAGTTATTCAGATTAAGTTATATATATTCCATCAATGATGGATTTACTATAAACTGAGGTTCTGTAGAATGCCAATTAAGCAAAGATTAGTGTAGTTTAAAATTCAACATAACTTTAATTTATAGTACATTTATTATTAGTAGAAAAGATACAAAAACTTTTTTCCTTCTTAGTTTTGATCTTTTTTTAATTTTCTTGGGAGTTCAGTTTTTTTTTCTGATTTTCTAGGCACGCCAGAGAGAAAAGATGAATGAAGAGCACAATAAACGGTTATCAGAGACTGTGGATAAACTGCTTTCTGAATCAAATGAGAGATTACAGCTCCATCTAAAGGAGAGAATGTCTGCTTTGGAAGACAAGGTAGAAACTGCCAAATCCCATTCTATAGGACATTTGCAGAGGTCTGTTTAACCAGTAGGGTCACTTGAAACATGCCCTTAGGAACAGATACTGCTCTTTAAAACCTAAGAGAAAATATTTCCAAAAGTCATTGACTCCTGAAAAACAAGTTTAGATTTGTGTGTAACTTAACTGTAACAGTGATTATTTGTGAGTACATTAGTATTTTTGTGTTATTATTTAGAATGCACTCCTTCGTGATCTGGAGCACACTAAAAAACTCATTGAAGAAGCACATCATGAGAAGGTACTTGATATCCTGCTGCAAGAACGTTTTCCGAGCTTTCTATCTTTGAATGCCTTGCTTTCTGCCTTTGAATTCTACATACTGTTTTTATTTAGAGCTTCTGTAAGTTGGGGTCATTTTGTAGCATTAAGATTTTCACACAGTGCCTTGTTTAAATGTCCTTAATCTGACTTTTGTGTAATTCTCATTCTTTCTAATTTCACAGTGGAACTAAATCCAGGAACTAAAAAAAAGTACTTTTTTTTCCCCCCCTGAGATATGGAATTGTTCAGACAAGTTATTACCCAGGAACAGTTACATGGCATAATGTACAATGAAAATATAGCCAATGTCAAATTTAAAGTTAAGTAACTTTTACAACTATGATTTTTCTGACTCTTAGGAGCAACTTCTTATTGAAATAGAAACTATGAGGGCTGAAAATGAGCAATCAAGAGCAAGAGGCACTTCATCGCTGCATCATGGGTGAGAAACAACATTTATAAATCCTTGCTGTGAGATCCTTTGGGGGATAAAAAGTGCTCTATAAATGCACTTCATTACTATTCCCTATTTTTCATTGGAGCAGCTCTCTGACAGAAATACCAATACCAAATCTACAAAGTTGGTGTCGTGTGTTCCCTCTGAAAATGCCCCTATGCTTGCGTCTTAGCCGGCCCCACCTTGGCAGCACACCTGACTTCAGGTATCCTGTATCGGCTTCCTCTATGATGGACAGTCACGCGGATCACTACAGCACAGCCATGGTGCTGAGACGCCCCCAGAAGGGACGCCTGACAGCTCTCCGAGACGAGCCCTCGAAGGTGAGGGTCTGCTCAAAAGGCTTGCTCTTTAAAAAGATAAAAAATTCCATTTAATACACGCTTTTTTAATAGTCTGTTGCTATAAAACAAATAGCCCCTTGGGGATAATAAAAAACTCTTTCTTCAAGTATTAGAAAATAAGACCTATAGTCTTGAATGAATAAATACACTTCTGTTTTTTTTTCATTTATGTATTAACTTTGTGACCTGTATCTTGGCTTAAATGAAGACAAGAGTTCGTTGATCTTCTGTTTGAAATGTTACAACAAACAAGTGAAAATGATTGTTTTACGTTTTTCCCTTTGCTTTCTTGTGGGACCTCAGAAGCAAGTAAGTCATATGGAATAATTAAACACTGTAAAGATATTAGTCACATTGTATTAAATGTTCGTAAGTTTCCAGCCCCTTCAATTCCAGGAACTTGGCCCAGACCTTTTTTTTTTAAATGAGAAGAAAGAGGTAAAGTGAGGTGTTATCTGCTTGTAAATAGAAACTCCTTTTGGTTTTGTATTATGTTCAGGGCAGTTTATCGGACTTGATGCCTTCTTGGGCAATAATAATCTGCTTTGTTACACATACTGCTGAGTTGTTCATATTGTGAGATTCTCTGCATGTCTTAGTCTGAATTCGACTTCAAAAGGCCACCTCGGAGCCTGTTTAAAAGACCTGCTGTGCTTTTCTGCATAATCAGGTACAGACCCTAAATGAGCAGGAGTGGGAAAGAGTGCAGCAGGCCAACGTCCTGGCGAACGTGGCACAGGCGTTCGAGAGCGATGCGGACATGTCCGACGTGGAGGACGACAGGGAGACCATCTTCAGCTCCGTCGATCTCCTCTCCCCCAGTGGCCAAGCCGATGCACAGACGCTGGCTCTGATGCTGCAAGAGCAATTGGATGCCATCAACAATGAAATCAGGCATGACCGCTTTAGTAATGCTAAATGGATTCCAGACCACTTTAAGCAGGAGAGCAGCACTCACACAGGAGCTCACATTAGGCATTATGTCAGCAGCTCAAGAGGAAAATAATTAAAAAAAATGCTTCACCAAGTGAATCAACGGGGGGTATTTAGGTAAATTTTTTTTCAAGCCCCCAAGTGGAATTTTGCCATTATACTGGGTTTAGCACCCCTTATCTTTCGAATAGTGCCATGGGAACTTCAGGGGCCAAGCAAATTCTGGTCCAAGGAGGGAAGTACCACCTACTGATTCACTAAAACCACTTCCAGCAGCAACCTGGTTATCTTTACAGGTCTCATTATTGACCAGACCACTATGCTCTGACAAGATAAGTTGGTCTTTAAAGTCAGAAACCCTTTTAAAGAATTCCCACCAGTTGTACATTTTTCATTGCCAGATGTGTTTTAGAAGATTGGTCACACGACAATTTACATCTATTATTTAGTAAATAGAAAGATACAAACGATTTACGTACAGATATTGGGTGTGTAAAGTACTACACAGAAGTAGTCAAAAATTTTGATGTATAACACTTTTTTTAGTCAGATTCTCTTGTCTTTATAATACACCTGTGATTGTCATTTGAATGCTGAAAAATACTTTCTCGAAACCCTTACATCCTAGACCTCACGTTGCAGAATGAGCAAAGAGAACACCTGACCAAAAGACATTAAAGTTTAATCTTGGCTTTAAATTAAGCTTTAAATTTTAGTTTGCTGTTTTTTAAGCCCATGTTTGTTTTCAACAATTTTGAGTTGTCATTTTATTGTTGCATCAGACCCATCATCGATTCTGGGTTTAGAATAGGGATCAGAGAAATTCTTGTCAGGTCAGAGCTGGGCAGTCCAGTTGCCCAGCTCACACAGTCACTGGAACCCGTAAGGAATTGAATTTTGGACCCTGGCTTTACAAGGTGCCATGTTCAGGCAGTCTGTGCTGCCCAGCACTCTTGTCTTTTGGATCTACTTGTCGCTGAGCGTCTTCAGAAAGGATCTGTTTCCAGCCGCTCACAGCTGAGCCTCTGTTTTCAGGATGATTCAGGAGGAGAAGGAGACGACGGCCCAGCGGGCCGAGGAGATCGAGAGCCGGGTGGGCAGTGGGAGTTTAGACAATCTCGGCGGCAGGTTCAGGTCCATGGGCTCCATCCTCCCGCCCTACACTGGCTCGTCTCTGGGAGGCTCCTCTCCCCCCGGCAGTGGGCACTCCACCCCTCGGCGAGTCCCACGCAGCCCGGCCCGGGAGGTGGACCGGCTCGGCGTCATGACCCTGGTGCGTTCACCCAGCCCTTTCGTGTGTGTGCGGTGGTGTTGAAGCGTGAGCTATGCTTGTTTTAGGCTAAGGAGCTCATTTTTATCTTTAACATTTGTTGCTGCATGAGAAATGGGAGTTATTTTCCTTAAACTGTTTGCTTATCAAGTGATCCTTTTTCTGTTCTGTGGCAGTAAGCATTCTTTCATAGATGTGTACTTTTTGTATCTCTGACTCCCTTGAAATATTGCAGCATTGTTTTAGATTTTGGTTTTCCGAGAACAGTACTTTTTAACATGCTGTTTGTTCCTTGCCTTGTTTCTCTAAAAAAAAAAAAGAGCTGTAATACCATTAAACCATTTTTGTTCCTTTTTGTTTTGTTTGTAGCCCACATCCCATGATACATATGTAATCCAGACCTCACTGCCCCATCAGAATGTAGTTTATTCTTCGAGCCCCTGTCCTAGTTCAGTCCTACCATATTGTGATTCTCCACACAGCTGTCAGGTACAGATGAATCTAGCAATGTGTGGAAACTTGGGGTCATATTTGTACAAAGGGTATTCATATTTTCTTCATCAGCATAAAGCTCAGAATTGCAGGCCTACAAGCAGAGCCAAAGCTCTGATATCCTCTGATCTCTTCCAGACGCCTTTTTGTTTGTGTGCTATTTTTACCTCAAGCTGTTCTTTGCAAGATTCTTTTTTGTCCATTAGAACTACGGTGCCCACTTTTCCCCCGGACTTTCAATCTTTTTTTCCTGTGTGTGTTTTGTTTGGTGGGATTGAAGAGGAAATGGCCTGTTATCTTTAGCATGAAACCTTCTTATTTGAAGGACGGCCTCCCAATGAATATTTACATTGGAAATGCCAAAACAGAGCTCTCACTTGATTGAATAAATTAAAATAAACTACTTTTATTTTCTCCATTTCATTCTGTTTTTCATCATACTACCTAGGGCCATTAATTCAAAATTGGAAATGTTGGGGTTTAAGATGGGTACCTCAGTGCGAATGTGACCCCCAGATTATACCAGCAAAAGTGCTTGTTGGTTGTCTCAGGAGAATTATATTCTATCGGACCGCTGTCCAAGTCTTCTGTTGTATCACTTACACTTTCACGTCTTGATCAACGTGTTTAAATCACTACTTATATTCAAAATGTTGAATATGATTTCTCAGATTTAGTTATTGAAAGTCTTTACAACTTTTTAGTTTTTGAGGATCAAACATATTGCTTTCCATTTCTTTGTTTTCCTTTGCATGATTGTAGACTTTAATGTCGATTTTTGTGCTAACTCCTCTTCTCTTTCTTGCACGCTTCCATCAGCCTAGTGATTTACGGAAACTCCGTAGGAAGGTAAAAATTATGCCTGGACTGGGTCTATAATTAATACAAAAATGCAGGGTTGCATCCAAGATTTTTATACATTGCAGCTGTATGAACTTACAGTTCCTGTTCTGCTCTTAGAAATATTAAGAAATGTAGTTAAATCTGCTCATATGTGAATTATCTTGTTTTCTTTGTTAACTTACTATGGCATAATTGAAAAATTGAAAAGAAATGAAGATTAACTGATCAAATTAAGTAACCACCTTTTTTCCAGCTCTCAACCAAAAACACCAGAACTGTACGGGAAAAGCCTGCTTTTAGTGTAGTCTAAACGTACATTTTTGTTCCAAAAATACTCTCGACTTGCCACCTTTTTCTCTTTGGGGATACTCCATATTCTTTCTATTGCCTTATGATATAGAGTGCAGTTATATGGGTCTTTTTCTTTTTTAGTCTGCAGGATCACAAGACGACAAGGCTACAATCAAGTGTGAGACATCCCCTCCTTCAACCCCGAGGTCTATGCGATTAAATAAGGGTGCCATTCATGCAGCCAGTCATGAAGACATCAGGGATATTCGGAGGTAACTGCAATAAACATGTCTGAAGTGGAGGTAGGCTGGTAAGTTGTCCTACCTTCACGAAAGAAGCACTATGGGAATTAAGGAACAAGTAATAGGTTTATTTCATGCTGAAAAGAGAAAAAAGAAAACGCAACGTTTCGGCTGTGGAACCACCTTCTTTACACCCGAAGAAGGCTCCACAGCCGAAACGCTGCGTTTTCTTTCTTCTCTTTTCAGCTTGGTTTAAACTTATTGACGCAGTATTGACTTACTGACGCAGCTACCCACCTGAACTACTGGGGGAATTAGTGTACTAGAGGCAATAAGAGAATGTTGCTGGCATACAAGCGATGTATGACGGGTTCCATTTGGGTATTGGTCAAGGTATTGCTCATATTTTAAAAAAGAAAAAAAATCCAGTCTGTATAAAATGGATTTTATTTCGAAAGTGACTATAATTACAAAAGAAGAAAATTGTCTCCACAAAAAACAAAATCAGCCAGAGTGAGAGGCAGGTTTCATTCCTCCAATGTGGCCACAGAAGGAGACCAATGAGAGGAGCTACATTACCCAGAATGGGCCAGGCTGTCACTTAAAGGAATATTAATAAGGCAAATAGGCAAGATCACTGCAGAGCTCTCCATACACAGACGCAGGAGAGTGACTACAAATAACAGGCCATTTTGTAGGTAAAAATACGTACAGTATCATGTGAAACACATATCATGTCACATTCAATAGCTTGTGCACCGTTTTTCCATTGTTTCTTGCCTTTATCACAGTTGCCAGAAGCACAGCTAACTACAGCCTGCACGGAGTGTGCTCTAGGTGTTTACACCTGGCCTCTATGCATTTCGCAGATAGACATTCTGCTTTTATGCAGGCATTTTTGGAGTAATTAAAATAATGGGAAAGGATAAAGAGAACTAAGGCAAATCAGTGCTAAGAGAACTACTGTTGTACATCTGTATAATTTGATCTAAGCATCAGAGCCTTGTGCGCCTGGTGCCAAGTTTGCAATGATGGGTGATCACCATTGTCCCAAGGGAAATTTTAACATCGCTCTCAGAAATGTTCAGTCTGGGACTGTGCAAATTTTCTGCTTCATGGTGGTGGATGGCTCCATCATTCACAGGTGAAAAGGGAATCTAAAAACAGCTATTTGCAGTTCAACAGGTTCCCAAGATGGCCAGGGTAGTAACCCCAGCAGCAGCAACAGCAGCCAAGACTCCCTGAACAAAGCTCCCAAGAAAAAGAGCATCAAATCCTCCATTGGCCGATTGTTTGGCAAGAAAGAAAAGGGTCGTCCTGGCCCACCTGGTAAAGAGTCAACAGGACAAGGTTTGTTGACTGACTACTTTTAACACTGACCTTCTCTGTGTTGTGAAGCTAAGAAATTGAATTAAATCTGTTAAGAAACACTGCTCATTATTTTTTCCTATTAGGTCATTTGTGACTCTGTTGTTAACATCAGTTTATTTTTCCTTAGATGCACATGATTCAAAAATTAAGCCAAACTTGAGTCTGTTCAATGTTAATTGAACTGCAAACCTATAGTGTGTTTTTTAAAATTTGTTATTGTCAGTGCTAGGTTTTGAAGAGTCAACAGGATTTCATTTAAATGCCTCAAAATGTAGATGTTAGTCATTCTTCAACAATTATTGTTTTTCTCATATACTTCATTTACTTTTTTACTACAAGATTGCTTACCGTTTACTATCCTGATAAATGAAATGTTGCATTAATGGTTCCCTCAAATATAATTATAATTGCTTACACTTATATAGCGCTTTTCTGGACACTCCACTGAAAGCGCTTTACAGGTAATGGGGACTCCCCTCCACCACCACCTCCACCACAATCATTTTTTAGCAGTGCTAATATGAACTGTAATTTCAATCCTGTAAACACAGCAGGCACTCCGGAAGCTGAGAATTCTCCACAAGATGCCTTAGGACTTAAACTTGGAGGACAGGTGGAAAAAAATAGGAAGCTACAGAAAAAGTATGTGACTTTTTTTCATCATTCATGTTTTTGCATGATTTTGATAATAATGGTTAGCACTTGATTAAACACATTGCCTTGTATGCGTATCACGTGCCTCTAGACAGTGTCTTGCATTCACTTCTTGCAAACATTCATGGCAACAAAATTGTTCATTTGATTTTTTTTAAATACTTAATTCATTGTTTGAATTGATTTATTTTATTCCCATGTAATTTTTCTTGTTGGTTTAATTTTATGATAATTCTATAGTGATGTCCATTGCAGTGGATGTTTAAAACTCATTCATTTAACTGAATCATTGTCATTTTAATTAAACACTTTATTTAGCTCTTATTAGTTTGCTTTTACCAACTTTGTTTTGCCTTTTTATTTTCCCCTTTTTTCATCCTTTTCTTTCATATCATATATATAGTGCAAAATCAGGGTAAGTTCATTTATTCATGGTTTTACCCCTCATTAATGCTGTGGATGCTATATTAACCCTTCATTCTGTAATATAAGGTGCAGTTTGCTTGGAATGCTTTGCTACTAAAGTTTTGTTCTTTGTCTTGACTTGACTGTTTCCAAGTGTATTTTGTATATTCCAGTTACAAAGGAGCAAACACCTCTAAAGTTTGTAAAGCATCTTGTTGCAGTCATAATACCACATTCCTTTTTTGGCACTGATCTGAAACAATTTGCAAACTAAAAGGATGTGTACTATTTTGTTGATCGACCGCATATTTAATTTTAATGGTTACACTGAATTTTCTTTTTCGTCAAGAATGCTTTTAAGCTGACGCGGAGAATAAGTATTCCAGTAAAATGTTAACAAGATACTGTTTTTGAGAAAGATTGCTCTAACAATAGTAATTTATCCTTTTTTTAGTATGGGGTTATAGATTAGCAGATGTGGAGCATGTTTTGAGGATTCATTTCCATTGTGCATTATAAAAATTGAGGACCATTCATATGTCCAGAGCTAAATTGTAAGATCGTTTCAAAAAAGGACTATTCATTAAAGTGAACTGCTCTGTAATGGTTCTAGTTTTTCAAGTCTGAAGTAGAGAGTATACACTTATTGACCACTGTTTACATGTGAAGTTTGTTGCTTTTTCAGATACTTGTCATACTTTGCTCATACTTGGGATTAAACCCTGCAGACAATTAAAGCTGTTAACATTATACATTTCTTAAAATTAGAACCTTACAGGTAGAAGTCTGCTTTTTAAAACTAGAAAGGATTGACTTCATTGAAGGCAACACTTTCTAGTTATGTTTTATTTGTTTTATCTCTATATATCCATTAAACTGCTTGTGACATGTTTTGTACTTGCTACGGTGGTGTCTTGGGTTTCTGCTGTTTGTTGGGCTCTCTTGAGTGTTATTTACTAACAATATAATAAGGCTGTTAAACCTCTTGAATGGCTGTACTTATTGAAAAGCTTCAATTAACCCATTGACACCAGGGCTATGCTTAACTCCAGTGTGCACTTCCAAACATTTTCAGGATTATTAGTTTTTAAGATCAGTTTTAACAGATGCGTGGACACCGTGTTTTAGCCGTGGCAGAAATTTGCACAATAACATGCACTTTGCATTACAGTTAGAAGAGGTAATGTTTGAAAGCACATGGTTATGTATTTTTAGGAATTCGGAATGTAAGTGGACTTCCTTTTCAGAATATTTAGAATTCCACTTGTTTTTATGATGGAGAGTTCAGAATATGTGCTAGGTGAAGGAGTATTGCTTTAATCTGGCATTGTGTGCATCTCTGTTATGAACACAGATGTTCTAACTCCTTTTAACCCTACAGGCACGAACTGCTGGAGGAGGCTCGCAGGCAGGGCTTACCCTTTGCACAGTGGGATGGCCCAACTGTTGTTGTATGGTTGGAGGTAAGACGAGTCCTGGCACTTTGAGTACATGGACTTCTCTCATTGTGGTTCTTTTTATACGCAGTGAGCTCAGATCTAAAGGATTCCAGAAAAGAGTAGGAACATTGAACAGGGAGTATGGAACAAGCTACCCAGCCGCGCTGTAGAAGTTGATACCCTAGTTTCTTTCAAGCAACAGCTGGATGAGATTCGGGGATCAATTAAATACTACCAAACAGTCTAGATGAGCCAACTGGCCTCTTCTTGTTTGTGACCTTTTTTTATGAATGACATGTAGAGCATTCTGCATTTTTCTTCAGAAGGTTTTCTTGTTTGTGTTTTTAACCGTAGTTAATTTGGGGAATTTTGTGACCGAGTGACGCTACGCTCACTTCTTGTTTTTTTTCCTTCTCTGCTCAGCTCTGGGTGGGGATGCCAGCCTGGTACGTGGCAGCTTGCAGAGCCAACGTAAAAAGTGGTGCTATAATGTCGGCACTGTCCGACACCGAGATCCAGCGGGAGATAGGGATCAGCAACCCTCTGCACAGATTAAAGCTGCGGCTTGCTATTCAGGAGATCATGTCTTTGACGAGCCCTTCTGCACCCCCGACGTCCAGAACGGTAAGCTCTCTGCGACAGCCCATTGCCATCTATTCCCCAGGTCGCTGAGACATTTAAGAATTTGGACAAGTGCTTTAAAGGGTGATAGAAAATATCGTAGTCTGAATGATTTCTTAGATGTAAAAATATACTTCTGGAACAATGGTTTCAAGCCTGCACCTGCAGTTTTTTAGCTGAATACCCCTTTTAACAGTACACAGTTGCTTAGTCCCTGCTATTTGCTTCTTCCCAATTGCTCCTTCGTAGGCTCCAGGCAGCCCTGCAGATACTCATTCATCAGCACAGGACAGCAAAGTGCATCTCACTTCATGGCCCATTAAGTCATTGAACTGGCTATTCGTATAGAATAGATCTCCTGTATTTCCCTTAAACTAGAGCCCCTTTGATAATTACAGGTGTTTTCAGGAGATGATGTACATGGAATATAAGCATTTTCTAATGTGCACATATTAAACATTTTAAAATGACACTGTTTTTTAATGTCAAGTGTTGACAGTTTTTTTACATTTGATCAAATTGCTTAAACTTGTTTAGTCACTATAACCAATATTGGTTTTGTTCTGTAATGTGAAAAATGACTTAATTGTTGTTTGTGCTATTAAAAACATATGAACTTTTTGGGAAGGAGGGCAAGACTTGGATTCCAGACTTAAATTTATTTTTTGAAAATAGTCAAAACAGCCAGCTCATGGCAAACTGTTAATGACCCTTAATCATTGCATGTTTTAAATAACATGATCTGTTGAATTTCAAATAAATCTTTCAGCATGATGCACTACACACACTAGTATGTTCTAAGCCAATAAGTTTGCTTAGATTTTCACAGAATTGCTTGTGCCAGTGCTTGCTATTAATTAACGTACCTTGTGCTTCAATATTCTGCCACCTTTCCTTTTTATTTCTGCTTTCCTCACAATGGATTGTGATTGTCACTCACTGTGGGTCATGTGATTAGTCCACGGGGAATGTGTGGGTTACACACGAAGAAATGGAAAATCTTGCAGCCACACCTCAGACGGTTAGTTCTTGCACTGCTGTCTTCTCCATTTTCAGCACTTTTGACTTTCCACTTATCTGTTCTGTGGGCTTGTGTATTCATCTCAAGTGTACCTTTACTAATCAGGAGGGATTCTTCTTGCAGGTACAGTCGCAAGAAAAAGTTTGTGAACCCTTTGGGATTTTTTGCATTAGTCATACAAATCTGGTCTGATTTTCTACTAAGTCACAATAATAGACACGCAATCTGCTTAAACTAATAACACACAAACAATTGTACTACTTGTCAGTACTGAACAAGTCATTTAAAGGTTCACAGTCTAGGTTGGGGGAAAAGTATGTGAACCTCTAGGCTAATGACTTCTCCAAAAGCTAATTGGAGTCAGGTGTTCCAATCAATGAGATGAGATTGGAGGTGTGGGTTGGAGGTGCCCTGTCCTATAAAAAAGGCACACACAGGTTGGTTACTGACAGAGTGTGCTCTTCTCAAGAAAGAGTTGTTTATTTGAACCATGCCCCAATCAAAAGAAATATCAGAGGACCTTAGGGTAGAGATGCATAAAGCTGGAAAAGGCTACAAAAGCATTTCCAAAGGCCTGGGTGTTCATCAATCCACAGTAAGACAAATTGTCTACAAATGGAGGAAATTCAGTACTGTTCCCACTTTCCCTAGGAGTGGGCATCCTGCAAAGATCACGGCAAGAGCACAGCGTACAATGCTGAAGGAAGTGAAAAAAAACCCTAGGGTAACAGCAAAGGACCTGCAGGAATCTCTTGGACTTGCCAAAGTCTCTGTTCATGTTCGGTGTTTTTCTTATAGTGGCCACAAGAATGGTGTTAATGGAAGGACACCACGGAGGAAACCACTGCTCTCAAAAAATAAACATTGCTACATGTCTCAAGCTTGCAAAAGACCACCTTTAATGTTCCACAAGACTTCTGGGACAGTGTTATGTGGACGGATGAGACAAAAGTTGAACTCTTTGGCAGAAACACGCAACGCTATGTTTGGAGAAAAAAAAAGCACTGCGCACCAACACCAAGTCCTCATCCAAATGTTGAAGGGAGCATCATGGTTTGGGGCAGCTTGCTATCATAGAGGTAACAATGAATTCAAATTGTATCAAGAACTTTTTCAAGAGAATGTCAGGGTAGTGGTCCGTCACATGAAGATTAATAGAAGCTGGATGATGCAACAAGACAATGACCCGAAACAGGAGTAAATCAGCAACAGAATGGCTTAAACAGAAGAAAATCTGTGTTCTGGAATGGCCAAGTCAGAGTCCAGACCTCAACCCAATTGAGATGTTGCATGACCTGAAGAGAACTGTTCACGCAAGGAATCCCAGAAATATCAACGAACTGAAACAGTTTTGGAAGGATCAATGGTCTAACATTCCTCCTACCTGTTGTGCAAGACTCATCAGCAGCTACAGTAAACATTTGCTGCTATAGGAGGTTCTACCAGTTACTGAATACTAGGATTCACATACTTTTTCCAGCCTGGACTGTGAATGTCTAAACGATGTTCAATATTGACAAGAAGTAGAATTGTTTGTGTTATTAATTTAAGCAGATTGTGTTTGTCTATTTTGATTTAGTTGAAGATCAGACCATGTTTTAAGAGTAATTAATGCAGAAATCCAGGTAATTCCAAAGGGTTCACAAACTTTTTCTTGCAACTGTATATCTGCTGTCTTAGTGTGCATATAACATGAGACCATTTCTCCTTTGCCTAGGAAATCTTCTCCTTTTCAAATGGTAGTTAAATTGTGCCCTACTTGTCTTTAATATTTTCAGTAATATAGAATAATAAAAGTGTGATTTCAGGAGTTCCTTAAATTTTGTGTGCAAGTCAGACCTTTTAACATATTTCTAATGACATATCCAGAAATATCTCTATGTTGATGACTGGAAACTGTAGAACTTCATTTTTCAAGCTTCAGCCATGCAGTTGCATTAGAAAAGGATATTGTCATGCTGATTGGGGATATGGATTCTCTCAAGCAGAGCACATGCCTTTAAAAGAAAGAAGAAATAATTGCAACTAATTTTTTAATTATTCTTGTCCTGGGATCTGGGGCTACTTCACCTTTCTTTACTTGACCACAATGGATTTTTTTTTACTAAGCACTGACAATCTACTAACACTTCTTAATTTTCTCTTTGCACTTCTAACAATGCTAACAGGAGGATGAGGAGGGCAGCTGGGCCCAGGTTTGCCATTTTTCTGTCTATGTGCTGTAGACTTCTAAATGTTGTAAATTATGACTAATTTTGGAGGAAAGGTATTGAAGGGAGCTTCCCTACTCTCGGTTCCCTGGTTTCTAATCTTGCCCTTTTTATGAAAACTTTGTCTTCCATAACTTGTAGGAAGTCCGAAGTCATATATCCGTTTCTACTAATGACTACAATTAAATCCAGCATCCTAGCTAGTGAAGTTGGAGCTGGTTAATTACCAAACTTCTACTTACAAGAATCTAGAACTTCTTCCTGTTGCCTCTTAGGATGACTAGACACATTAAAGATTTGCACCAAAGATGTACCATTCTAGTTTCCTGATCATTTAATACCAGGATGTACTTTTAAAATTAAGCAAATGTCTGGCCTGTTGATCTTGATCACATTTATGGAATAGATTAATTTGTAAACTTCTGCGAATGTGCCACACAATCCACTAAAACAGGGACATATGAGGGTCGTAAATCTTCAGATATATTTGAAAAAACCATACCATTTTACCTACTGTATTTCTGCAAGAAAAGTCTCCATAAAGAACTCCGTAGTGAACATCTGTGGGGAAAAAAAAGTAAAAAAAAAAACCCACCTCTTACATTTGCTGAAAAGGTAGTCAGGACGTAACAGCATGTGCTGCTGAGCCATGGATCTGATTCTGAATAACAGCCTTAACCCTGAATACTTACGAAACTATTTCAGTTTTTGAGAAAATTCTGAGATTATTAAAGAGTGTTTTGTAGTTTCAAGCATATCATGGCCACATGCAAAATATTGGAATGGCTAGCAAAAAGAATCATACAGTGTTATTTAAGTATCTTTTTAAAACAATGAATTCACCCTAGACCTTGTTTTTGTAGACACTAGCGTATGGGGATATGAATCACGAATGGATTGGCAATGAATGGCTTCCCAGCCTGGGACTGCCTCAGTATCGGAGCTACTTCATGGAGTGCCTTGTTGACGCTAGAATGCTTGACCACTTAACAAAGAAGGATCTGCGTGGCCAGCTAAAAATGGTAGATAGTTTTCACAGGTGAGGAGATGCATTGTGGATTTGGATTGAATGAGCATTTAAACCAGGTGGAGTTTTTCAAATAGTTTACTAGGATGATGAATTTACAGTGCTGGAAATGTAATTATTCTGTGAATTACAGTCCAAAATAGAACATTTAAAAAACAAAAACAAAGTTGTGTTACAATATTACCTCAATTGCTTGGTTTTGTTAATTGGGAAATTAAGAAATGCACTGACCATCAAAAATGAATGTGCACTGTATAGACTAATCTAAGGAGTTGATATGAAAGACTACAAGCTCCCCCTGGTGTCAATATAAAACGGAATAAGAAACTTTGGATATATCTGAAACAATTGAGCAAATACTTTTCTGTAGCAAGTCATTTTAATGTTTCTGTGGTTTCTTTCCAAAACAGAAATAGTTTCCAGTGCGGGGTAATGTGCCTACGAAGGCAAAATTATGATAGGAAAGAACTTGAAAGACGAAGAGAAGAATCCCAAGTGGAACTTAAAGGTAATGATGGATATTTTCTACCTTAATCCTAGATCTGCAGCTGCCCAGTGACTTGCAAATTCTGTTTTAAGTCATTCAACCACATACCACTTGTATCAAAAGTATTTCAAACTGTGGCACTTGGATGGTTTGTCACACAATAAAACCCGTCAGATATTTCTAATCTGTAGTCCACCGCCAGGTCTTGGAAGTATTTGTTGTAATGGGTGAAAGCTTCTCATGTCAATATTTATTGGGAGGTTTGGTTTCACGAGAGCTCTTTGCCTGCTGTTTCAGATGTGCTGGTATGGAGCAATGACCGAGTGGTCAACTGGGTTCAGTCCATCGGTCTCAAGGAATATGCAAATAACCTGTTGGAGAGTGGAGTCCATGGTGCACTACTTGCCTTAGATGAAACTTTTGATCACAATGCTTTAGCGCTGTTGTTACAGATACCCACCCAGAACACACAGGTACACTTATTTCATTTGTATAACATTTAGTTTGTGATTTCCATGTTATGCCTTCATTGCATTGCAGTTGGTTGACTAATATTTCATATTAGTTTCTATTTCCCCTTTTGTCTCCAGTCTTTTGTAGTGCTCATCTGGACTGTACTTAGCCAAGTACCCACTGTGATAAACATTCCTGTTAAACTAGGGAATTCTTAGAGGCATGTGAATTTCAAACATAGTATTTAGCCAAAAGAATGCTTAACAGACATCTAATTTCTACCTTCTTTGTGCCTTTTGAGTGTTTCATTACAGACACATGTAATAGGATGCAACTGATAGTCTTCATCTTATTAACTTTTGGAGGTTTCATTGTTAGGAATATTACATCAACAGCTTAGCTTGTTTCTTTCCACTTAGGCAAGAACAATTCTAGAGAGAGAATATAATAACCTTCTTGCCCTGGGTACAGAAAGAAGACTGGATGAGGTGAGAAAAACTAAATATGCAGCTCTTTGAAGTTAATTTTGCCTGTAAAAAACACAATGTTGAATATAAATTATTGCTGGATGTTACTATCAATGGGCTATTTTTCTCTACTTAAATAAAAAAATCCAGTGTGATGCCCTAAATTATAAATTTAAGCTTTTAAATGAAAATGTCTAAGCTGTTTTATTTTCAGCTGAACAGACTGTAGTCTGACTTGGTGAAATGTGGTTCTTTCCTTGTGTGGCTAGGATGATGACAAGAATTTTAGGAGGGCTCCATCCTGGAGGAAAAAGTTTCGTCCAAAAGACGTTAGGGGGATGAACCCTGGGTCGGCAGAGACTCTTCCTGCAAACTTCAGGGTGACAAACACAATGTCCTCACCATCTATGCAGCCAAAGAAAATGCAAATGGATGGTATGACAGCAAAATATTTTGATTTCATGGGCATGACAACTGCATGACTAACAGCTTTATAAAAATACGCTGATCTGTCTGAATTGATATGAAAGTATTAATTACAGCAGTTTTTATGCTTCACTTTTTTTTAAAGTGAAATCCATAACCACTTTTGCATTTACAAGAAATCTGCAGAGAGCAATTGAAATATCTTAATTTCTGACCGTGCTAAAATGCATGTTCCTTTTTAGGCAGCTCATGCACTTGATATTGAGAACTTTCCTAGAAAGCATTTTGAATCCGATTTTCTGATAAGATACAGGATATTTAGCGTAGGTATTTTTTTTCTTTTTAGTGTACATTGTTTGAATAGTGTATGTGTCCTTTAGTTTTATTGAACAAATATAAACGTACTCTTAGCAATCTGTGAAATGGCCATCTGAAAAGACCAGCTGTTTGTTATTAGATTCTGCTTTGCTTTGTTTGCTAACATTTTTGGATTTGACTAACTGCATGTTGTATTGCACCTTGTCTCTGGATGGTTGGGACCAGGCAGTATATCAGGAGCTCAAAGATTGGATTCTGCCACAGTAAGGACCTACTCGTGTTAACACCCTCTCTTGGTGAGTTCCAATGTCATGTCACCATACATGATCATAAGTCATTTAACTGGAAGAGCTTGTGGTTCGTGGACATTATTCCTATTGATTACTATTTAGTAACTCCACAAGTACAACATTAAAACAAATCATTACTGTTTGGAAAAAGTTACTTCATAAGGATTGACTAAGTGTTCACTTGTCTGTATGAAAACTGGGGAATTTAGACTAAATGATGTCAGTGGTTTCCTGATTTAATAGATATAAAGTCACCTTAAATGTAGGTCATTTATCAGGAATTTGGTTCCAGTTTTTCTTTCCTATAGAAAATGTAATCTTCTTGTCAATTAAGTAAATCCTTTGTTTTCAAGGTAACCAGAATTTTACAGTTGGCTATCTGCTCACAAATGAAGACTTTTGAATTTGCTTTTCTGTGTGTTAAGTAGTTTTTCTTACATAGGAGAAAGAATTAGTCTTAATATTACATCTGATTACATTTGAATTTTTCTGAGGTGTGCAGAAATAGAACAAGTTTCATGACATGGACTGTCCATAGCAGAAGGCTTGAGTTCTTCTATGTAGCTGACACAATGTTAATTATCTACCGATTACCCATAATTTGCACTGACTTTGTTCTTTTTTCTATTTGCAGTTTATCCCCACTATTTCTATCGATGATTAAACAGCATTAAATCAATTGAAGACTACATTTCTGAAATCAAGATGAGATCTGTGACATCGTTACTTCTTACAAGAACACTATAAATATTTTATTACAGAGTTTAGAGAATTCACAAATTTCCTGAATACCATAGAGAAAATATTTTAGAATTAAAGTTTCTTATATTTATGTAAACTGATTGGATATTTCATTTACTTAGACCTAATACTGTATCATTGTCTGTATTCATTTTGCTTTTTTCCTTCAAATTCTGTTGTGCCCTTATCAAATGTAAAATCCTTTCAGATGTAACTGAATGTATCATGAGTCTGAAGGTTGTATATTTATCTACAGACATTATCTAATCTTTATTTTTTATATATATATACCTGTTTGTGCATTGACCACAGACTTTTTTTGTTTTTGATTTTAAATGTGGGGTTTAAGCTAAAGTGACTTTAACACGAGTGCATTTCTAAAAGTCCTTTTTTTCACATTTTCTTAATGGTTGATTTAAACTTTTAAATGCAACTTTTAGGTCAATTTCAATTTCTGAATTTCAAAAACTGGTGAAAACTCTTCAGCATTTTAGATCGCTCTTTGGTATGTCAGGAGGACTGAAGATTAGGGTCTGGAAAATGTGAAAAATAATTGAGGTTTGACCACCACCCCAAAACACACACACACACACACACAATATTTGTATATTTGTGCATCTCTGTAAATCATTTACTGTGATACCAAAATGTACTTTGGAAAAGCCATAGAACTATGAAGAAGAGAGTCACTTATAGATGTGTTGTTTGGCTATAAGGTCCTTTCAAGTAGAAATACTCTACCAGCCACGGATGCTGAAACTTTCCATTCCTCTCTCTTCTTCATTAAAAGCTTAAAAGAAGCTGATGCAACACGTTTCATTCATCATGGACCAATGCCTGATCACTGTGGTCTCATTTCAAGTGGGAAGTCAGTAGAAGGTGGCACAATTTTCATAACCTTCTAATGCATTGTACGATGACTTTAAGCCTTATTTTTGTTTTTACTTTTTTTGTCACTTTGTATAACGGTTGTCATTTCCTTGGATCGTATCCATGGCTGAAGTGTTTCTGAATGTGTATTCACTTGTCATTGAACACCAGGTTTCTCAGTATTTATATACTCATAATGTTGGGAAATCGACAGACTCATTAAAATGTTTTTAATGTACTGATTTATTTTACCTTGTCTGTTTGATAAGACGTACGTAAAACACAAATCATGTTACCCTCATGTTCTTCGTTTTGTTTTCTCATTTCAAATTTCGTGACCTTGTAACAAATATGTACAGTCTGACTACTTTTGAACTATTTTTATCACAGTATTATTTATTGCTTACTTTCAATAAAATACTGAAACTTATTTTCCACTGCCAATAAAAAAGACTGTGTCTTTGTTTAAAAAAAATCATTGTTGCATGTAGTAGTAATTGATCCGATTTCTTTTTACAAAGGATTTCATTAAAATTGCATTTTTTAAAAAAAACTGGTCTTTAAATGCTTTTGAACTTAATAAAATCGTAACAATTTTTGCAATACAAAAGGTTTGTTTTTTTTTGTTTTAATGTTAATCAAGAAAAAAATTGCACAATGCCAACAGAGGCTAATAAGTTTTTGTTTTTAAATACGGTTGCATTAACTTTAAAAGGAGAACTACATCCTTATAAAGCTGTAACATACACAACATTTCGGTGGACGAAGGCACAGTATAACACGAAAACGTGCATTTACTCTCCTAGAAAATCTAAATACACGTGCAGGTGGCGTAGTTTTCGAGGCGTTAGAAGTTTTAGTACTTACAGCTGGCGTTTCGCCTTGTCCTCTCCGCATTCCCGGCACGGCTCCCAGGTGGTGCTGCTGAGCTCGTAACAGGAAGTCGGGCTCTGGGAGAGCCGGAAGGATCGGGAGTTGGAGCAGGAATACTACGGAGGCTTGGGTTAGCTTCAGAAGCGTTTATTTTTTTTATCTTCGGCGACAATTTGTGCGAGAAGAAACATTCGGACAAAGTAAGTCAACGTGACAGCGGTACCCCAGTACAGGTAGAACAGATTCCGACGTCGCCTCATTAGGTGTCGGGGGGCACGATATCAATGCAGACTCGCAAGCAGGAACACATAAATCATAGAGGCTGAGATCAGTCTTGAGATATGGAGCAGGAAATGATGCAGTGCAGAACATATTTAGTAGTTATTATACATTGAATTTATTTACTCGGTAGCCACGGGCAAACATTTTATCTCCTTTAATGATCTATTAAAAATGTGTGCTAAGAGTGTCCCGTTCGATGGATGACTCAGTGGCTTGAAAGAAAGGGCTAACGCAGGAAGAGAATTTCGTCTTGTGGTGGACGTTGGGTTATCTAAAGTAGTTTCATCGGAACGCATCCCTCTGTAAAAAGATTGTTAAAGGTGAGCATGCTTTGCATGTTAGTCGGATTTGCATTCCTGTTCAGGTTTGCTTTGGTTCAGATGTGCTGGCCTAGTCTGTGTTTATGCAGCAATTATCCTTCTAAATGAAACAGTGCCCCAGTCTCTAATATTGGTCAAAATAATGTGGCTCAAAAGTTTCGATTCTTGTAAAAAGGTATATTCATAACGAAGACCCCTCACACATCCCTTTTTATAATTTCTTCTTAACTGTGTCATTGGGGAAGTATATTTAAAATAGCATTTCCACTTTATAATCCCCATGCGAGGTTACTATAGTGAAAATGGAGCTGTGTCGTCTATTGTTCGAGGGGTTTGCAGTTAAACACGTATGATAAAATAGTCGAGTTTTCAGTGGAGACGTCCCTTAAACTTGTCACGGGAAGGGGATATAGCAGCACAAGTTGTGATCTGGGTGTGGTGCTGAAGGGCAGCTGTAACTGCACGGAAGGTATTTGTGCTGTGAAATACCTAAGATTGCAAATAACTGCACTTCAACTTTATACTTCAACACCAGAGGGAGACACAGATACAGGCTAGGCTAAGGGGTTCAGTCACCCCTCCCCGTCAATATGTTTCAAATCCACGTTTTGCGCTGAATTTGCAGGAGGCATATGCGAACTTTTCTTTTAAATCTGGAATGCAAACCCAACTTTTTCCATTGCTACACCGCAGATGCCTGTGTGCGGCTGAGTCAGACTGTACAGTCTGTATTATGGGATAGTTATAGAGTTGGGCCAGACGCAGCAGGGCTCAGAAATCCCCATCTTGACTGACGTTTTATTTGTTGCTATTTGATTGCCTGCATTGTGGACGACATCCGAGGAATGCAAAGTTTCATCCTACACAAGTCAGGCCTAGGGAAGAAATATGCCTTAATAGATATTGTTTCAAATGTTGCAACTGACAGCAACTCAACTATTTAGTCCGTCTTCTTTCAACTGCTTATTTCAAGACAGTTCAGCTCCAGCTGGAGAAAGTAGAGTACAGCTCCCATTATCAATTTGACAGGCCATCTTGTAAAAACTTTTTCACTGCACTTTGTTTTTCTAGTTTCAGTTCCTGTAGCATTGCAATTATCTCTCAGTGTTTTATCGTGATTAATTGCACGGTTTCTTTTATGGTCTGTGTAGAAGCTGATACCCGGACAACTGTATAGATTTCAGCCTGGTAGTTTTAACACCTTAATGAAGTTCCTGTCTCATTTGAAACTTTTTAGCAGAGCAGTTTGCAGCCCAGGTATTTTTTTTTATCTTGCATGAACCTATCCTTTTGTATAGCAGAACATGCAGTTGTCCAAAAAATAAACAACTGTAATGATTAAAATGAGAAATAGTAGTGACTTGTTCAGGAACCATTGTACTTAAACTCCTCCATTTTGCTTCCTTAGATGTGGAAAGCTGCAGGCGGAAAATCTATTTCCATCACTGATGATGGCTCAGATGACTGGGAGACTGATCCAGACTTTGTGGTAAGGAGTGATTTTTTCATTATGTCCTTCTTATGTCTCTTGGAGAACACATCACAAATTTGCTGTTTTACACGGTGTGGCTGTAAACAATTTCTAGCCCATTTCTCATTTGTAAGATTAAGAAGAAAGCTTCCCTCCCCCCACCACATTGTCTGATTAAACAACAGTGGCTTGCCTGAAAGCTGTGGCAGAATAAAGTGTTTGAAAATTATGCTTCAGTGTTTACATGTAATGAAAATTACATGTAATGGGATTTCCATGAATCATTTGTACAGCTTATCATTGGGCTGGTAAGGATGTTCTGTACTATACAGTAGCTAACTGCAGGTAGGAAGTCAGTGATATAATAAAAAGGTGTAGCTTGTTGACTACTTGTTTTGAAATGTATCTTTTTTTCCTACTTTGCTGCCACTAGAATGATGTATCTGAGAAGGAACAAAGATGGGGAGCCAAGACCGTTGAGGGATCTGGACACCAGGAGCATATTAAGTAAGCAGCTCTTTCCTAGCAGATCCATGTGTATTAGATTGTGTTATAATGGTGGCTCCAGTTTTAATATTTGCGTGCATGGGATGTTAGGTTTGCACATACTGTAGGGCAACTGAAGTTTTCTTGTTTTGCTTGGTGAACAAGGAGTTGGAGTATCAGTGATGAGTTGATGGTTTCAAATAGTATTTTGCCACTTGTGGTTTATTTTTTTTCTTTGTTGCTTCTGTGCAGCATTCATAAGCTGCGTGAAAATGTCTCAGTGGAGCATTGCAAATTGAAGGAGCAGGAGCTGGAGAATATGCCTAAAGCTTCTCATGGTTACGGTGGAAAATTTGGAGTCCAGCAGGATCGAATGGATAAGGTACTGGAGATGAAATGTCATACATTTTTTCTTTTACACTGAAATCTGTTAAATTAAAAGCAATTCTGTGTATTAGTGATGATATTTTGGACACGTTTGAATCAACATTCGTTTGAATTATGAGTGGTCAGAGCAAAGTGTGTTACCGAGGTTTAAATACAGTGTGCTCACAGGCCATGTGACACTTGTTTCATTTCTATATATTGTAGTAGTATATTTAAACCTGTAAATTACAGACTATTTGTCTTTAGCAATAAAAAATACTCTGGTCCCAAGTGACATATGTGGCACATATGCTTTTCAACTGCAAAAAGTTTTTTTTTTAAACTGCAGGTAAAAGTGTGTATATATATTTGCTGGTCATCACTGACAGAGCAGGAGTTGGAGCACAAAATACATTTTTTTCTAACTTCTCAGTTGTACTACTGATCTTGGCTTTGGCACGCAAGATAACTGTCGCTGTTTGAAATCCATTATGTTCTAAATTGTCTGGCAAACGTCAGTGCATAACTCCCTCCCTGCGTTCCTTAATTGTCAATTTCCTGGTGAAATAATCTGCCTGCCAGTGCCTGCCACCTGATCGGTAGGCCAGGGAGTCGATGCCAACAGTAACATTGTGAGCCAGTCATACACTCCTCATTCTGGCTTTAATGTGTGAATGGGATAACACCAGGCCTGCCAGGGAAAAAAAGATTTTCCTATGAGCTAACGATTTGCACTTGTCTGTATGCAACTGGTACACAAATCCCTTTCTTCATTGTGGGTATTGTACAGTGGTAATATTTGATGATCCAACGGCTTTACTGTGAAATATGTGCATGGTGAGAAGTGGTATGACATTCTTTTCCACATGGGTTCACCCATTTGATCTGCCCTAATGGAAACGGGTTTGTTCGAAAATGTATCAGAATGGACTCAGGAGATCGGAGCTGTAAGCATTCACAGTTCACAGCAAGTGATGATATTCCTGGAACAGTAAATATGAAAATGCCTATAATGTGAATAGAAAAGTTAAATTAGCAGTATAAGCAATTACAACTAATATTCTGGTTTAAGTTCTCTGCTCTTGTACTCTCGAGGTGAAAGGTAGTGAACACCTTGTCGTCTTGTACTTTCAAAGGGATATTCAGGACAACAGAGAAAAGCAATCCTGGACTTCTGATTTGTTTGTCCTTCCTCCTGTTGAAAAACAAGGTTATCAGCTTATCAGCTAGCTTCCAGAAAAAGTCAGAAAGTTTAAAATGGCTGCTGATCTCGGAGCTTGATTCTGCTCCATTGTTAGAATTCTCCTGAACTTGGGGACAATGAAAGCATATGTTAAATAAAACAGTGATCTGGACTTTGGTGTGCATCGCAATCATACCTGGGCACTTCAAGCAAGCTTAGTTTTAGCAAGTCATTTTTTTTATCACCAGTATGGATTCAGAATTTTAAATGTCCAAGTAAACATGACCTATTTGTCTTCTATAGTGTTGTTTTGGTGTGTTCTTGTAGTTCAGTGCTGGCAATGAATGTCTGGGATGTTTGTTGTCTTTCTGTAGTCTGCTGTAGGCCATGAGTACCAGAGTAAGCTGTCCAAACACTGCTCTCAGACCGACTCTGTGAAAGGATTTGGCGGAAAATTCGGTGTCCAAGCGGATCGTATTGACCAGGTACAGCACTGTCATCCTTTTTTCAAAACCACAAACTTCATTTTGCCTCTGCTGCAGGGTCATACCTGTGTAGTATTGAAGGCAGTGCAGAAGGAAGTGTCCACATAAGAGAAAGGTGTCGATAGTGATTATTGAAAAAAAATCTTATTGTTCTTACTGCTCATTACTAATGTGAAACTTGGGGTGTCTGTTGAACTTTAGAGTATATCTTGATAGTACTTTATTTTGAGTACTGCAAAGGAACAAGTAATAGGTTTATTCCATGCTGAAAAAAAGAAGAAAGAGAACACAACGTTTCATCTTCAGGTGTCACCTGAAGAAGGCTCCACGGCCGAAACGTTGTGTTCTCTTTCTTCTTTTTTTTCAGCATGGAATAAACCTATTACTTGTTCCTTTGCAGCCTACGCATGCTGACACAGCTCCCCACCTTTATTTTGAGTAGTTAATCAATCCAGAATATTGTTTAATATTAAGTAATTGTAAATTGCATTATAATGTTAATTGGGTGTTCATGTTTTTTATTTTAACACATTAATGTGTGGTGTGTAGTAGTAAGATATCTTTTGGATAGACGCAATAAATGTGACTTTGAACATCATAATCTGGATAAGAAAGCAAAATGTCTTTGACTTTGTAGTCATTGGATATTTAAAGCTAAGCTGGTTTCCAAAAACATTACTTTGTCATTCATAAGTGGTTGACTATGACTAATCTTTCCCTTGCTGTTTTGCAGTCTGCAGTTGGATTTGAGTACACTGGCAAGACTGAAAAACATGCTTCACAGAAAGGTGCTGGTTTTCCTATGATCCCTGTACAGTATGAAAACTGCATCAGATTACATGATTTTTAATCATAAACTGCTTTGGATGTAGTATTCTCTTATTAAAAGCAATCTTAAGTAATAGCCCTTTATAAATGATAGTACAGAATTTATATTTACAAACATAAAAAAAGGAATGTATTGTACAATGATTATCTAAAATGTAGCTTTATAATAAGGGAATACTGTCATATTTGTCTGGCCTAGTAGGTTTTTTGCTTACACATTTGAATTGCTACCTCCTATGTGACAGTTACAGCTGCTCACACTTTTCTTTCTGATTCACAGCAGATTGCACTGTAAATGGTGCTAAAACGAATGCCCTTCAAACTCCAGATGAGTTTTTAGTTACTGTGAAGTTTGTTTTTTTTTGGGGGGTAGTAGTACATAGAGATAAGGAAAAATATCATCTAATTTGTTTTAACTAATTAGATTTTAGAGGAACACGCTGCAGATCCCAATTTCTGATACCGCACAGAAGTTTGATTTGTTTTTATTTCTTCTTAGAAAAAATTTGTCATACGCTCTGACAGTAAATAAATCCAGTACGCTTTGTGGTTTAAGGCAGTCATTGTAGCTTTTTGCTACTTCAGAAGAATAACAAAAGATTAATACTTTTGTCATTTTCAGCATCAGTTCATATTGATAATGTTGTAAACATACTTCATGCAGTTGTCCGCTAAGGCCTAGAATCGGGCATCTGCGTTTCCCCGAGTTGTACAATATGGTTTCACAGCTCCGAAATGCTGAAGTGTTTTTCTGTGCTTTTTCTGCAGTGTTCTGTTGATCTGTTAAACATTTATTTTGCTTCAAATCAAAAAGTTTCTGTCTTTGCTCCTGTGTAAATTGAAATCCGGCATGGCTTTGCAGCTGCTTAATTTTTACTTTCGCTTGATGCTTTTGCTGTCTTAAACCATGTAGACTATTCATCTGGTTTTGGGGGGAGATATGGTGTCCAGACTGATCGTGTTGACCAGAGTGCAGTAGGATTTGATTACCAGGGCAAAACGGAAAAACATGACTCTCAGAAAGGTTTGTTATCGTTACTCTTTTAAAACATTTTGTTTAGGGTTTCAATTTAGTAACAACGAGTGCTGTATAGCTGCATTTGTTTTCTTTTGCTGTGTCATTGCAAATGTTTTGTAGAGATCCAAAGTTTTCTTTGTTACTGAATACTTTTTGTTTATGATGAGCTAAATAAATATATATACTGTATAAGTTTAAAACACAAAATGTTGCTTAAACAGTAAATCAGAATTATTTTGTGTTTAGTGCCACTTTGCAACAATATTAAAGCAAAATCTACTAAAACAAACTGAGAAAATGACAACTCTCAAGGTCGTTATTGAGATAAGCTGGGATCTCCTCTTAATTGTTTTGCAATTGTTGTGCTTGATTATTTTCCTTTACTTATTGTAAATTATTGTGAATGTTTTAATAACAGCTCTGTTTGGCTGAGTTTAAGAAGTCCGAATTTCTGTATAGACTGTATTTGTATTAAAAGTTCCTTTTCTCTTGTAAATCCTCAGATTATTCCAGAGGCTTTGGTGGGAAATACGGGGTAGAAAAAGACAAAGTGGATAAGAGTGCAGTGGGTTTTGAATACCAAGGAAAAACCGAAAAGCACGAGTCTCAGAAAGGTTTGTAAAATGTTGATTCTTACATGAACAGGCACTGGTTTGTTTTTGGCCTTTTAATCACGAATCAAGAAGTGTCCTTTTTTAGAAAAAAAAAGATTCGAAGAATTTTAGAAATCAGTCTTGGTAGACATGTCCTTCACTTGGCGAATATGGAAAATACTTGGAGAAATACTTTTCTCTCTTGGAATGTGGAGGCATGTTTTGTCTTGACTGGGAGAGAGCTTAGCATTGTTGCTTCACTGGTACAATGTGATTTCACCATTGTTTCAAAACATTTATCTTTTAAAACCTGCTTACCTATCGAAACATGATTTGCTAACTCTTAATGGTGGAGGTGGAATTGGGCATCTGGGTTCTGGTTTTATGCTTGTTCACTACACTTCCAGTTCAACATTGACCTATTTAGCATAAGTATACACCTCAACATACTGTAGTTGAAGTATTGAAAGTTTACTTAGTAGTCTTATTAATTTGAAAAGAAACTTAGTAAGAGATGGCACAAAGCTCTGAGTGTTTTTCAAAAAAGTATACCTCACCTACGTTATTTTACTTTTCACAGTAAAAAAAATACTATTAGCTGCTTCAAGAAAGTAATATATTACTTTACATAATTTAAAAGTGCATTTCTAATGTGAGTATTCCATTCATCCACATTTTGTAGAGAAATTCTCTTTATATTGTGTTCCTTGGAAAGCTGATTTATTGATTTAATTAGGGCTGGGCGATATGGCCAAAAACATTATCACAATAAAAATTTTCATATCAGTCGATATCGATAATTATCACAATAAATGTCAAATCATTATTTCTTTCAAGTTTAAAGGCAGATTTTTTCTCCTGAGTGGAGGTTGAAGAAACCAGACAGTTAATTGGTAAATTAAACAACTCTCTATTTTAAGAACACAACAAACACTTGCCAAACAGCAGAAACATTAAACAAATCTGAGGTAGAGAGTATTCAAGTCTTTTTTACGGCAAAATATGCATGAGTAAAATTTACAAAATAAATATCTTAATCGAAAAATTAAATACTGCATTGTGATAAAACACACATAGAAGATGGCTCAGACAGACTGCAAAGTTTAAAGTGCTCTGTTTTATGTCTGATCATAAAAAGCCAAAATATCCCCAAATTACCGAAGTTGAATTACCTTTTCTGTCGACAATGTCATCATCCTTCGAGCTGGTCGTTGGCAGCACTACATTTGCTTCAGTGTCGCTCATTTCTCAACTCTAACTACAATCCTGCCACCACGTTGGCTACCTGGTCTGCAACACGCACGTGCACTTGTGCAGTATTTTGTGCGCATGCGCATATCATGCACAAAGCATAAACATATATATCAAACATTTATCGAACTTTTGTTAAAATAATATCGAGGAAAATAATATCGCGATAATTATTATCGAATTATCGCCCAGCACTAGATTTAATTATTAAATTTAGAAAGTGCCTTTGAAATCAAAACTTGCTCAACTATCAATTGAGAATAAAATGAAAGATTACCTTCATGGATGTATTGTAGTATTTGCTCCATAAAATATAGTGAAAATATGAAGTGCTACAGTAATCTCTAGCACTGAAATAAATTAGAACAGTTTATTTATGGAGTAATAGATGCAGAGAAAAAATGTATTTTAATGGCGTGGAAAATACATCATATTTAAAGAGCAGAAGCGAAGGTACCTGAGCAGAGTGAAAGGTGGTGTTCACACAGTGTTGATTTGGCTGCTTAAAAGAGGAACTGCAACACTATTTTTATATTTAGGGGTTAGAATGGATTCCATTGATAAATTGATGAGAGCATTTCAAACCACAATACACAGTAATGTGTAAAACCTCCCACTCACATCACAAATTGATTAAATTATCAGGTATAGTTATATAGTATACCAGGAATAATTTCGCAGCGCCATATTGCTGTCAATTTCTGGGATTCAGAACAAGACAATAAAACTTCTGGTTAAGTGAAGCGGCCCTATTACATTGTAAACAAGCAGGCTTGTGAATATCTTGGTTTCGAGTTGGTTTTGCAGAGAAATACTATTTACCTGTTACCTCTGCATGAGGATCACGTTGGAACATTTCTGCGGTGAAGTTTCTGCTGCACAACCTGTACTTATTTTCTTGTACATCGCATTTCGCATTACAGTTAACCAGTGAGCAAGAGGGGCCGGTTTAAGTCACAATTTTCGCAAATTCTTGCTCTCGCCCATGGCAAAACCAGCGATTTGCGACAACATGGTATTTTCACAAAATTCACAACTTTGTGCTTAATGCAGAATTTGTAAGATTTTGTGATAGTGTTAATTCATTTGCTTTGTTACTGAGATTTCATAGCCAACCCGAGAAAGTGTGACTGCACTTTCCCCTTAAGTTAAAATCTGATTTTAATTAATACCTGAGTGCAAAGAAGCCACTCGAAAAAACGTTTGTGGATGTGATGTTTCTTGATTAGGTTTTCACAAGACTGCTTGACAGGATTTTTTTTTAGTACTTGCATGATTGCTGCTAATCATGAGGGGATTTATAAGCGATCTGGAAGTACTGCTTTTTTTATCCCGCTGCTATCTTTCTGCTGCTTTTCACTCCCTGCAACAATTAAAATTGCCACATAATAACTCCAGGAATTTGTATTATGTGTGCAGACTATGTTAAAGGTTTTGGCGGGAAGTTTGGTGTTCAGACAGACAGACAGGACAAGTCGGCCCTCGGTTGGGACCACCAGGAAAAGGTTCAGCTGCACGAGTCTCAGAAAGGTACTTCTGTTTCCGGGGACTTTACACTGCGGGCAGGTGTTTTGTTTCGTTTGAAGGTCATTCAAATGTCTTTGCTAACTTTCCTAAAAGGGTGCTTTTTCTGCACGTAAGTCTTGCTTGTTATATACAAACTGTTTTGAACTGATGTGTGAAACGTCTGTATCTGATTCACATGGTGCCTTAACTACGTAGGCCTTTATTATTTCTATGATTTATAACTTAAAATCTTAAAGGATCATTTATAAGAAGTTCTATGTTCAGGTTTAGAAAACCAGTACCATAAAGGTAGCAATGAGGATGTTTCTTTTGTTTAAATGTATTCTGGATGTTGCACCTCTGTTTTATGTAGTAAAAGAAGAGACATGAGATGGATTTCAACATCTGCAGTTGTTCTTCAGTGCAGGACTAAGCTTTTTTTTAATCTTTTCCATTCTACTTCAAAAACTTCTTACCTCAAAACAGGTTTTGAGTTGAGTATATATAAATGTTCATTTGCATAGAATCTTTCAATCTAGTCTAGATTTGCATTTTGATTAAACATTAGGAACAGTTAACAGTTGCCACAAGATCCCCTGCACTGAGTTTTTGAAATGTAGGGACTATTATATTAATGTTTTAGGTGTTTTTCTGTTATCCTGTATTAATGCCAGTGCAGCAGATCACGGATGTGAAACCATCACATTCCTACTCCCATTCACATGCCTTGAGGAAGTGGTTTGTTACAGTGAGATTAGATATTTAGGTCATGTGCTGTAAGGGCTTAGATGAAAAACACTAAAGAATGTGCACCCTTTAAGGTCTTTTTTTTTAAATTATCACCACACTACATTTATCAACAGTAGTGTACTGAGTGCTTAGCCAAAACACAGTAATGTATAGCAGTTATCCAGGATTGACACATTCACTGTTTCCATTGGAATACATCATTGTGCTCACATCCTAGTAGAGAGTTTAAGAAACAAAGCAGGGAAAACCCAGATTTCAAATGTTCATTTACTTTAAATTGAGTTTACATTACGCGCAGTATTTCTCTATATTATTGCATGGACCTTTAAGGCAAATTCATCAGATTTCTAAATATCTGAATTTCTCTCTGTTAAAGTGTATATAATGTGATTATGTGTAAATGTCATGTTAAATGTTCGAAGTTTTTACTTTGGTGATTTTCCTGTGCCTGTTAAGAACATTATTAGACTTTTGAGACTCCTTTCTTTGTTACACAGGAACAAGGATAGGATTAGAATAGGAACTATGATTAAGTGTTAGTTTCTCAGATAAGACCAGCTGTACTGTCCCAGACAGTCCTTTGTTGGATTCAGTGCAATATTGGGGTGCATGTTTATTCTGCTGCACTTTTCATTGTTCGTTTTTGCATTGAAGTGTAACACAATCACTGAAGCATACAGTTTTTAACCTGACTTGTGGTGTTTTCATTCTTTACAAATCCCCCAAAATGGAATGCATCATTTTATAGAAAGAAGAAATGTTGGAGAAAGTAACCTCCCTTCTTACAAACTGAAATTATGAAAATGAAACAAAAAGGTTACCTTTTCTGTTATTTCTATAAGGCATTGTACCTTTCAAGGTTCTGAAATATGTACAAATATTGAGTTTTAGTTAAATGCATTATAAGTAGAACCTAAGATATAACTAAGATCTATAGCCTAGTTAGAGAAGTAAATTTTTAATAGGTAATTAGTTAATGGTTTCTATAATTGAAATCTGGTCAACTGCTTTCTGCTGCATCTTTTTATAGAACTCCATTCCCTTGAGCCATTTATTTCTCAAGGACTATTCCTAACTGGTATAGTCGAGGAGACTTTGTCAGAGGGGGGCTGTTACTCACTGTGTGTTTTTTATTACCAAAGTCTGGTGTGATTTCCCATTTATGTTAACCCTATTCTGTTTGTCCCTTTTCTTGCTTTCGATTCTTTTTGTCTCTCCTACTTGTGGCTTGTGGATTTTTTCAGATTATAAGAGAGGGTTCGGAGGGAAATACGGTGTTCAGATGGAGAGGCAGGACAAATCTGCTGTGGGCTTTGAGTACAAGGAGAAACTGGCCAAGCACGAGTCCCAGCAAGGCACAGTCATGCTCTAGTTTATGCCCAAACTGTAGCATTTCCTGGCACAGACTTTTCATACGCATTGGTTAAGTTTGTAACCATCTGGGTTTCGGCTTTTTGTAATTAAGTTTAGAAGTTCAAAATGGCCTCGAACCTGCAAACTTCAAACATAATGCATTAATTGTGCATATTTCCTGTTTACAAAGAATCTTATTTATGGTTGATGGCCTCTAATTATTATTGTACAAGTATCCAGAAGGTGGCACCAGTACTCTGCTGAATTATACAATCAGAATTACATGTAGTGTAATTTTGCCTTATCTATTATTGGATTCACGGTGTACATATTTTTAAAAATGTGTATTAAACCAAATTCACATTTGATTCATAAATAAAAAATATATATAATATGATCAGATCTGCTATTACAGAATATATTGCTTTTAATTTGTAATTCTCAGTGTAGTGATGATAGCAGATGTATTACCCCTCGTGTAATTGCTTTTACCATTATATTCAGCTATATAATTAATAGTCAACTTATTTCTAAGCAAATGTGTAGTGTCATATACTTGTCAGAGAATCTGATATGAATTGCATTGTAATACTCCACAAATGTGTCATTTTGAGTAAGTAAATATGTATTTACTAAGTAATTATTATGTAAATACTCTGTTAGAGACTGTTGCTATGACGGCTTCCTTAGAGGAAGTTTCAATAATTGTAAGGTCCCCCTAATAGAATCAGTAACCTCAGCCTTCTAAAGGACGAATGTTAACATATATTACTGTTCACCAGATTGTTTTCTTTTGTTGTTCACTAGTGTTTAAGTAACGACTAAAACACTTTAATAAGTCTGTGCTTGGAGAGTGCTATGGTTTTGGAAAGTGCCTTCACTTGTCTTTTTTTTTTCTTTTTCCCTTTGGATGTGTTCACACCACTCTAATCCAGTGCTCATTTGCTTATTTGCCACTTTTCAAGACTGGCCTATGCATGCTTGCACAGCCTCCAGTATCACAATGCGCCATGCAGTTCAACTTCCTACAATGTACAGCTTCAGGTGCAGCACGTAAGCCAAAAATGGCTTCATTAGATATTTAACAAGACAGGCATATATATTTGTGTTTTGAGCTTTGTGCATTCAGATGTGCATGAATGTGCTTTGCGCTCTTATTTTTTTTTCTGCAAAATTCATTCAATCCTGAAGCTAACTGTAAGGTCTTATGCTGTTTTAGACTATTCAAAGGGATTTGGCGGAAAGTATGGAGTACAAAAGGACAGAATGGATAAGGTATTTTTCCTTCAGTTCCTGATTTAGTTTCAAGTTATTATTCGTATTTTGCATTGTTCTTATAAACAAATGTTTTTTTACAAGTAAGTAAATGTTTTTGCAAGTAAGTTCTAAAGTACTCCATTTTCAATTGATTAATTAAACTTAATTGCACTTGTTGTCAATATTAGAATGTAAACAGCCCTGTACTACCTCAAAAATAAAATTAGTTTATATGCATTAAGACTGATCATAATGTAATTTGCTTGGTTTAATTTAATTAGTGGCTGGTAAAATGTTAGAAGAAATGTAAATGTAAACATGATATGAAGCTGGAACTAAGTCTTAGTGTGGTAAAAAGCATAATTACATTGTAGTCTGCTGTATATGGTGTTGGTGGAACTGTAAAATTTCCAGTTTCCAGTGATTCAGTATGGTGAGTGGACACAGTGCTCTAGGAAATGCATCTCAGCTGAAGGACAGCTAAACTGAGGTCCTGGCTACTGGTTCCTGGTTATGAACCATTTGGTTATGAAAGATTCCATGGCTCTTTTTTCAAAAGCTTTCAAAAGGGGTATTCACCCTGGTGTTACGGCTAAACTCTAATCTGAGCTCCAACAGTCCAGCATATCCTAATATTCTCTTGATTCAGGTGGTTTCTCACTTGACCTGTTGTGCATGGCATCTGTCCCAGATCAGCCTGGTGGGTGCTGCACTTCCATGCTGGATGAAGTGTCTGCTCCTACGTGTAGAGTGCTTTGGGATAATTTGGGAATACGCTGTTCAAATGTAGCAACCTATCCTTCACTAAAACCTCCGGGAAATAACTAGATTCTTTGTCATGTGTCTCATATTGATATCTTTTTTTTTTTTTTTTCACCTGTATCTAATCTGCCGTGTTTCTAATTGTATGTCTAGAGTGCAGGTACCTTTGAGGAGGTTGAAAAGCCATCTCCAGCCTACAAAAGAACCAAACCCGTGGAAGCTGGTATGTGACTGGAGAGGCCTGTGTCCCATAGTTCAAAAACTGTTGTGCTAGAAGTGTTAAAAGGACTACAGAGTAACAAAAGCTGAGTAACACTATGTAATATGGAAAATATGTGCATTTTACATATTGCTGGCATTTTGGTGTATTTTTTAAAATGTTAAATTTTTACATTTAGAAAGCATACAAAACACAAACACAGAAGCAATTTGCCCACAGTTATTGCAGTGAGAGAGCGGTATTTGATTTTTACAGAGAAAAAAAATCACCCGTAGTAGATTTTCGCCATCAAATCCGAAGCCCATTTAACTGAGGGTTTAGGGGTATTGCAGTTAATTAATTAGACCAACTGTGTAACTGCAAACGTAGTGGGAATAAAACCCGGAAAACTCTAGGCCCTCCAGGAACAGAGTTTGAGACCCTTGCCGGGAATGCACTAGATTACAAATTAGATGCCTTGTTTTTTTTGGCTTCATTTTCCTTTCCTTCTGCTGTAGCCGGAAGTAGTGCTAGCAGCATGAAGGCCAGGTTTGAAAACCTCGCCAAGCAGAAGGAGGAGGAAGATCGGAAACGAGCCGAGGAGGAGAAGGCGCGTCGCCTGGCAAAAGAGAAGGAAGAGCAGGAAGAAGCCAGGAGGAAGATTGAGGTACAGCTTTCTTAGCTGGGTTCACAAGTGTACGATTCCTCCCGGTACCTGTTCGGAAACCAGATGTTTTAAGTACTTTGAAATCTCAAAAAAGATGGCCTACTCACATTTCAAATGTGAAGAAAGACTAATCGGGGAAGATCATACCATTTCATTGTAACAGTAGCTCGGAAAGAAGCAAATCAGCAGTGGATTCATGCGGGACCTTTTTGTAATGTTGATATTCTCAGAAATGAGCTGGTTTTTAATAACTCTTTGCAGGAATTGAAATGCGCCTGATAGGCCAACTGATTTGTAACATCTCGTACGAAGAGTATGTGGAACTGCTGTGACATTCTCTCCAGACACAAGGACTTCGCCATTGTTTTCTATTTGCTCAGCTAAATGGTCTTTGTTCTTCTTAATGTACGTTGTGGCTTATGGAGGAGTGTAATGGAGATGACAAATGGGAAGCTCCACGGTTTTTCAACAAGTAAAAAGTTAAAATCTCCCCTCTGCTCAGGCTGAAGGTAGATATTATTGGCTCTGACTTTGCTGTGTGGAAGGATGTCCACACTGAAGGAGTTTTGAAATATGTATTTCTGTTTCTCTGGGGGGAAAACGATGGTTTGGCAGTTGGCCTAGATGGCTTTTGATCTGCACGGCCCTTTGGGAGCCGTGGCGCTGAAGAACACCGTGCGCTCTTTCAGCTGTCGCATCTGTTTGACTTGACACAGGAGCAGGCGAAAGCGAGACCCCCGTCCCCAGAGCCGGAGCCGGAGCCCACCCCGGCCCCAGTCTTTGAGCCCGTACGCCAGGAGAAGCCTGCCAGCCCCACTTATGAGGTCAGCTAAATTCTCCAATGGATAAAGTGTTAAACCAGAAAAGTGGAATAAATCTGGAGATTACATCTTATTTTTGTAACCCCAGGCATGCCATGCAAATGCACTGTGACACAGTGACAAACAGACTTTTGCCGTGACCCACCAAACAAAATCTCAGAAGTCCCTGTTTCATGTGTATTTAGTGTATAATGTTGTATAATGCACTGTTTGACCTTTTCCTTGACGTTTGCAGACAGAGACATTAGTGTTACAGCCTGTATGTCCATGTGTGGACTGCAAGAGGTCACACGTAGGTTTCTAAATATGCATGTAGGCATGATTGGAAATGTTATTAAAAACAGTAGCTAGAAGTTAGTCAATCTTTTGCTAGGTCTAACTGCAGCCAGACAAATCTGTTGTAAAGTTGCAAACTGAGAAATCCTTGAATTAATGTGAGAGAATTTTAGCTAGATTACATTTACTAGATTACGAACTGGAACTGTATTCAGATACTTTTTATCATCTTTAAGGTTCGTACTGTTTTGTTCTTCAAGATTTTGCCGCAATGTTTTTTTAAAGCAGGAAGTTAAAATTAACTCAGACGTTGAGTTTTCTTATCTTGTCTTTTGTCTTTGTTTTTTTGAGGGCATCAGTCTTGAGCATAAAAAAAGGGTGGTTATGTCTTACAGGAGCCAGCTCTATATGAGGAGCCAGCTGCTGACGAAAAAGAGCAAAATGATGACCTATATGAAAATGCAGAGTCTGGCCACACGGTGCAGGAGTCTCACTACCAGGACCACACCTACGAGGCAGAACCCCAGGACACCTACCAGCAGGAGGCAGTGTACCAGAGCACGGAAGACGAAGGACAGTATCAAGGTGATCCAGTGCAGGAGCTTTTATACACTGTTTCCATTACGCTGTTTAGAACATACAACAACAGGATTTCCCAAACAACTGTCGTGACTGTGTGACATTCGGGAAGAATATAGGCTGTTCAGTATTTCAAAAAAACATCCAGCTTTACATTTGCCCTTTACTGTTGCTGCTTTTTTGTTTGTACACTGGGGGGTCTCTGACCCTGGTCCTGAAGAGCCCAAATCACCTGATGTGTTTTTAAAGATAGTAGGGTGATTTATGTGTAGTGCACTACCACTGGGATCTGTACAAGAATCACTCCTATTCCTAATTTAGATTTACTGATGATCTAGATTTCAATATAGTTTCAGACCTAGTCAAGTTTGCAGATGGTACCAAATTAGGAGGGTTAGCAAACACCGTAGAAGCAGCAAATGAAGTTTAAAAAATATTTAGAAAAAACATAAGAGTGGAAAGAGTGTATAGTGGAGCAGTGCATATGAAGGATCATTTTTATCCATAAAAACAATGTAAATATAATGCAGCTTGCAATGAAATGACTTCACATTGATGGTAGAGGGGTGAGGTTAACCATTGTCTGGAGAATGGGAAAAGAATTGGAGACCACAGAGACTACAGATCTGAAGCAATCATCCAGCCTTTTTCAGTTGAAGTTCAGGCACGGTATAGCAGCATGAGAGAGTGAGTTTTTCTCTGACCTTATCCTCCTAGCTAGGCTCCCTTTATAGCCAGGTACAAACATGCCTAGCAAAACCGCAATAGCGACTACTTCCTCATCTCAAGGCAAGCCCTCATTCTTCGATTGAAAAGATGGTTGGAGTGCTCCCTGCCCCCCTTTCTCCCTGTGTCAGACACTCATAATTTACAACTGTCAGCAGTCTACATATTATCTATATCAGAATTACTAAGACATATTTTAACAATAGTGCAAACCAAAAAGTGTAAGCAAGTTTTATGGGTATGAGCTCATCAGTGCTTCTGGTGAACGGTTATTTTACACAGAGGATATAAGCCTGTTAGTAATGCTCTGATTACAATCATGTTATATTTAAAATAAAATCCAGTCCTTCAATATCCATGAGGAATCAAGTATCTTGAGATAGTGTCTGAACTCAGTTGGGAATGTATGTCTGAACAATTTAAGCACCAATAATAAATTTAAGCACCTATAACAAATAATACATAGAAATAGATAGTGTCACCAAGTCTTTTTGAATTTGTCTTGGTGAAACCAACAAAGTCATTCACTTCTTCAGGGTCGATTTTTTCCACACACTGTTCATGTATTAAAAGTTTGTAATCACACCTTGATATATTGGTTATATCAGTGCCAGAGTGCGTGGTGTTGAGGACTATAATGTTTTTGACGATGAATCTTGAATCTCTCAACATGTTCAGTGGTGTCGTCTACAGAAAGACAATGTTAGATTGGCTCACGGCAATATTTTTGTCATTTCCCAAACAAAATAATCCACGAACTACCTAAATTGCTGTCTTTTTGTGCCTTGAAAAATTATGTATGTTTTTACACTTACAAGACTAACATGACTTAAATATTGCTTATTTAACCCAAGTACATAAATTTACATAAACATATTTAGAATTAACTGTGCAAATGTTGTCCCCTTGTCAGCCTTATATATTCACTGACTAAAACTATTGCATTTAGGCCAAGAAAGTAAAATTTGTTGTGTTCTATTAGATACCCAGACCTATGCAGAATATGGAGAGGATCTTGGTGTCACTGCAGTGGCTCTGTATGATTACCAGGCTGGTGAGTAAATAGTATTACCTTTTTGTCCTTTGCAGAACTTTAAAGCACTACACGGAAGTGAGGAAAATATGCTCCGAATCTTTATGAATGAGAAATACATGCAAGACACCAAAAAAAGTAGTGAGCGGATTGCAGCATTGTGTACAAAGGCAGTTGCCCTAATTGGAAGAACTACAGGCTACTGTTGCCCAGCCTGTGTACAGATGGGACTGTGATGTGTTCCCTATAAAAGTGCTGGCTGGTGTTGTCTTCTAACAGTATTTGCAGCCTCCTGCACCCATATGCTCCTCAGACTGAGGGAGCAGAAATGTGTGTGAGGTGCCCAGGGTTGATCTGGCTTGGTCAGGGGCTGGCGGCAGAAGACAGGGAATGGCATATTCTCTGGAACACCTACCTATGCCAAAACCCCGGGTTTCATATTGGCAAAGGCACACAAAAGACAGGACTGGAATACCAGGAGCTTCATTTTCCATTATAATCTTGAACAAAAAAAAAAAAGTTTCACCCACTTGTTTGAAAAACATGTATTGCAAGATCGGTCATTAATAAATGCTCTAAAACCTTTAAAATGTTCTGTTGATCGTCACAAACGTGACACTGTGTGCTGGCTATTCTATTTGTGCAAACAGATGATCCACTTTGTGTATTTGATCTGTCCTTGTTGCAGCTGGCGATGATGAGATTTCCTTTGACCCAGACGACATCATCACCAACATTGAAATGATTGATGAGGGATGGTGGAGGGGCGTGTGTAAAGGAGCTTATGGGCTGTTCCCTGCTAATTACGTGGAGGTTAGGCAATAAAAAAAGCACTTTCCAGGGTACAGTTTTGCCTTAACTGCCACCTGCTTGTGCTCTAGCTCATCTCCATGAGGAAGAAAAGGTCGCCATATTCTTTATTCTGTCTGTCATTCCTGTGCCACTTGTATACAAAGTGTTAATACATTCTCAGGTCTGTCCATTGTTTCTTTTCACCAGTTAAGGCTATTGCAAAATTCAAAGGCTGCTTCTGTGTCCTGGCTGTCCTGATTTCGGGAGGATTATAGTACAAAAGAAGTATCATGGCATAATTAAGCGATAAAGAACAACTCTCAGGCTTTTCTTGGTTTAAAATAAAGATGTGCCCTAGAGGCATTCCATCTGCAGTTACTGCAGTAGGGCTACTGCACTGCTTCTAGAGAATACTTTTACATGTAATTAACAATCACTCATTGTCATCGAGGCTGGAGTGGAAATAACTAAACAAACTGTCTGATTAAAGTCACTCAGTTAAAAGTGTTACCATAAAGGAGATGAGAGTTATCGTGTGTATTTAATATTGAATGCTCAAATGGAATTAAGCTTTGTTGGCTGGTTTTACAAACTCTGATTAACCCTGGTCATGACTAACTTCCTTAAATGAATTTTAGTAAGTCCAGATACAACGCTAATTAGGTGATGTGAAACCAGCCCCAAAAGTATTAGCCAGGATTTAAAAACATTTTAATGGCCAAGGGCTATCTTTTGAAATATTGACCACCAAAGATTTTTCATGTATAAAGCCCATGTTGCAGTGCAAATCCATAACTAAAACAGTTGTGGTCATCCAGAGACTATGAAAGCAACTGATTATCCAGAAAGGCCTGTGATGACTGGAAACTCTATTACTTGCTCGAAGAGCACAGGCTGTAAGTACCATGCTGCATCATTTTGTGTAGTGTAGAATTGCTTATATTTTTGTTTTGTTTTTTTCCTCTTTGGAGTTCTTAATTGCTGATTAAGCAGAACTGCTAATGCTTGGAGAGACGAAAAAAACAAGCAAAGATCAATTTGTTTTGCACATGTGATCAAATGTTTTATTGTGTTGATAATGGCATTCGTTTTACATCAGAGACATTTAATGCAAATAATTAGTGGATGTGCTGTTAAACTGGTTTGCAGGATTTTATCCCAAAGCCTCCCATTCATCTGCAGTGTCCCCAACTTTAACTCGATATTCCATATTTTCTTTGAAGAAAATGTACATTCAGATAAATTTGACATTTCTGTGACTTCCTAATTTTCCAAGTTCTGTATATGTGTTTCATTGGCATGTCATGTCAGCCGGAGGTAGGAGGGTGGGGACAATATTGGTATTCCACAACCTTTGTGTTTTAATGTTTCAATTTGAGCCACTGTGTTCAGAAATGGGGCCATACATTTGTTACATCATTCATGAACTTTGACCAACTAAATGTAAAAATTCAGTGTAAATTCACATAAGGGGAAACTGCTTATGTTTAAACTTAAAACCCAATTAGTGGTAATTGTAAGAACGGATGTTAATAGTTTTATGTAATGAATGGGACAATCCTTAAAATGCAATGTAGATGTCATCACTTAATTGCTTTAGTGTTAATTTTGTTTACTACCGATTGGGAATTGCATAATCATTTTTGGGTTGGGATTTTATAAAGTGACCTTTTCCGATATTATTTTATCTTTATATCAGCTTGCATAATACACTACATAACCTATACTTTATTTTGGTTTTTTTTGTAATTGAATAAAGTGAATAAAGTTTTCAGTAAATAATTTCTATGCATCATTTCTAAGTGTTTAATTTAATGGTGCATAGAACAGTGTAATGGGTTAACATGGATGTGTATTTTATTTATATTCTGGCAATCTTCAGCAGGTTGACTTCACATATACCTCCGTGTACTGTCATTATGGGAGCCCAGGAAAAAAGTCAGAAGGTAATAAAAACTGTGTGCAGATCTGGGGAGGATATGTGCTAATATACACTTCTCAGAAACATTCCAGTACTCTTGAGCACACCCCTTTCATTTTCAGGTTGGTACAGCCCATGAGCGCAGGGTTCTCAGACTGCTATCTCTAAGTCGGCAAAAGTGTTACAACACTGACTGTAAAACTCTCAAAAAACCTTCTCCTTAATACAAATAGAAAATACCAATTAATATTTTAAATGTAATATAACAGATTCCATATAAGCTGTGGTCTCTCAAAAATCAGTGAAAGTTACATTGCAAAAAATCTTTATATTGGATGTAACAGAATATTAGAAATAATGCTTCTAATTTTCCTTTTAAAGTGATTTATGGACCTAGGTGATGCTGCGTAGTGCTTATATTAAATTGAAAAGCAGTTTTATAATATATCTTAAGAAAAAGTCTGTACATCATACTTAAGGTGAATTTCCATTCTGTCTAATTCATACTGACTGATGCTGTTGCATTGCATTTCTGTAGCTATTGTTCTTTGAAATCACTTAACACTAATGTTAATGGTACAGTAACTACAAAACAGAGATGGATGCAAAGATCTCCTTTCATTTGTCACAAGCTCAGGTTAATTATCTTGCAGACTTGCTGCCTTTCATTTTAGATGAAGACGGCTGTTACCCTTACAAACCATTACACCTCAGACTTATTGACCAGAACAAATTCTGGTTGCTTCTCCCAAAAGGAAATGTATTACTGCTGTACAAATGAGGAATTTGTGAGAAGTCCATTATGGGGAACTGCAGTCTCATTTCTTCAGATCTGTTATTAATTCTCGGTAACAAATTGATGGTATCTGAATTACATACAAAATCATGAACTTTGTGAAAGTACTTTATGGTCGCTATTGCGTCGTAAACTACTAGTCTCGCAGTAGGCGAAAATGAGAGGTCGTGTGAACTGTGACGTAAACCGGGCCCACCTGCTATCAAGTCCCTATAATGACTAAAGTAATGCAATGGAGGAGCGAGTTAAGTTACACGCTGTGCAGCGGACAGTTCGCACCAGAAATGTTTCAACGTGGGTCTGCATGCAGAGTTAAACAGGTAAGTGGTACTTGTCGGAAAAACTGTTTCGGGAGTGATATTTCTACTGGATTAAAAGAGATGTACACTGTTCAGTGTAATAGGGCTGGTTCACCTCACCAGAAGTTTTGTTGCTTCGCTCTGAATCGCAGACAATGACACTGCGTTTACCTGGTAATTAGGTCTTTATTTCTGTACGTGTGATAAATGCTCAATTTATTTTTAGCTCCCGTTTAAAGCAAATCATTTCTTGGTGTTGAGATATTGCTTAGGAAACCTGACCGTGTAACTAATTTGTACATGTATTTCAACGTTTTTAAAACCTACCTTTTATGCATTGCATTTACTTTTGCCTGTTAAGACTACTGAAGCTCTCCCTTCATTTTCAATAGTGCTATTAATGTAATTAACTATGACATTTCTTTGGAGGCTTAAGACACAACATCGTACCAGCAGCAGCTGGCGATGTGACGAAGCACACCTCAGCACATAAAAAAACTATCTCAAATTTGATCAGTTACATTTTACAAACTTGTAACCTTAGCCACATGATCAGTGTGGTCGCCTTGAATGCTCGAGTAAGCGCCCTCTGAAGAAGCTCCCTTATTTCACACTAGAGGGCGCTCAAATTCAAGTATACAGCCCGCAGCTCGGCCGCAAACAGCAGATTATTCATTTACAAACAGTAGATTTGAAGTCTCTAAGACTAGCAAAGCAAGGGTAACATAAGTAGACTATTCTGAAAAAAAGTGTATTATAGTTTCAACAGAATGCAAAAAAAAACTGACTGAAAATGGAAATGAAGCTGACAGGGGGCAGCTAGTTGTTGGTTAAATTAATTAAAATGGATTTGACAGATTATGGTGTGTGTACACCACAGTTCTGTTGACAAGTCAGTTGATCTGAGTTAGAAAAGCTGAAAAGGGTGTTTTGTTTCTGCATAGAAAAGACAAACTAAACCACAAAGTTGGAAATTGTGAAATTTGATCATTTACAGTATCGAGCGGGGCACTCAGATACACATTTTACTGCAGTTTGTGGCAAAAAGGATGTTATTGTTCTACCATATCTGATTATGTTTATGTAAACATTCCTTGTTGGACAAAAATAAGTATTCATAAGTATTTAATGTAACTTACCATGGCCACTTTAACAAAAGTGATTTTAGAATTCAGCACACAAATTCAGCTGTCAGTAATTAATGACCATAGACTAGTTCTCTTTTGTCTTTGGGTAAAATCATCCGTTTCATATTCCACACAATTAGAATTTGGGATTTTACAACAGCGAATGAAAATGTTTGAGATGTAAATAAGTGTGCTTTCTTTGTTTTTCCTACATGAAAATCTATAATATTTCAAACAATTCTACAGATGTAAATTGTTTTGTTGTTTTTGTGAATATTTATAACAAAGGGGTGTTTATATGATAATAGGATAGCAAATACATAAAATATTTTACTTTTTGCATTACGTGCTAGACTTAATCTTCAGTTGTTCTTATGCACATATAGCCTGTTTCATACTTCACACATCAAACAAGCTGACATATTTTGGTTATAAATCCATTCATTTACCACTCAGTTTAGGTAAAGGTTCTCCATATCACTATTATCTTTCCAAAATTCTACTTTGTATAAACCTGTTTTCTTAATATTGCATTTCCAGAAACTAGTTTAATTGAAATAGAATGATCTTTGCATTACACAAGAGTGCATCCTTGAGTTGAAACAGACTATAGCATGAGTTCAGTACACTGGACTAGTTCCAGAATAAAAATGTGACAAAATGTAGTGCTATTTTTACAATTTGATGACTCAGTTTAGAAAAAATACATTATCTTAATCACTTGTTCACATGTTCTTTGGGATTTTCCTTAAATGGCCATACCCCAAAAATGTGATGTGGTAAGAGAGCCAAAAATAAAATTCACCATATAAAATGCTATATTTGATTTTTTTTTAAAATGTCATCGAAAAATATTTTTTGGGGGGAGTTTCTAATGAGTCTGTACTCGGATTACAACATGTTATTTGCATTCTGTGTCGCCCAATTGCTCAGTGATTATCTGTGAACTAGGGGTCTTAAAAAAAGAAAATGGAAGCCTCTTAACCTGGTGAGGAGCACCCAGGAGAAGAAACACACAGAAATACAGGAAGAACATGAAAACATTACAATCAAGGCCAGAACTGAACCCTGGACCCTAGAGTTGTGAGGCAGAAATTCTACCCATCACCATCTAAAATTAAATAGATATTCTTAACTGCTCAGAAACGCAAGTGAACTCTCAAAATGGCATTGCATGCTAATGATAATGTTTCTTCATTAGCCCTATACAATTTCTTGCATTAGGAATGCGTCTTTTCGCATACCCCAGCTTTTCTCCATGGAGACACAGACAGAGAGACAGGGAGAGAAGCTTGGGGGCAGAGCGCAGGGTCTGCCATTGTATGGCGCCCCTGGAGCAGTTAGGGTTAAGGGCCTTGCTCAGGGGCCACGGAGTAGGATTCCTCTGCCGGCCGCGGGATTTGAACCGGCAACCTTCCAGTCACAGACGCAGATCCTTAGCCACAGAGCCACCACTCCGCCCACCACTAGTGGTATGAGACTCAAAATACGTACCTTGAGATGAGGTTATGAGGGTTAATAGTTAAAAGGCAGTCTATAAATGGCAATCTGTGTTTACATGTAGAGCTCCATGCTTTTTTAACTATGTTTTAGAAAACTGTAATGAGTTATTTAGTCACTGAACCTTCTCTTTTAACTTTCAGGTTAAATGAGCAAAGTTTTTAGTTTCATTAACCCCAATCTGTTCCACTAATGAATTTAGCTCTGCAACGCCAGCATTCTCTATGTCACTTATATAAGATTTATGCCAGCTCCCTGGTGTTTTACAGATAGACTCAGTGCTCCTAATTAAATCCACTTTTCAGCCACCTTTTTCCTCCACAAACAGATAGAGTAGATTTTCTTCCTTTTAGAGGACAGCTGTTGGGTTTCATGGCAAGTATGCCGTTTTATTTCAGTAGAATGTGAAGTGCATACAAGGACACGCAAGAATGTGCAGTGCCTCATTATATCCACTTCCTTCATTCTCCATCATTTTGGAAAGGCAAGACAACCTTTTTAAACTGTAAACTTTTCATATGTTCATTGTAAGCAGGGGTCTCCAAACATGGTCTTGGATGGGCTGTTGTGTCAGTAAGTTTTCATCCGCTTAGTGCACTTAATGACTTAAGTTTGAATCGGTTGTTAATTGGTTTATATTCTAGTTTATATTAACGTAATTATATTTCCATAATCACTGAGGGCTATCAATTACCTATAAAACTCGGTGAACTGTGACCCTCCAGTACCAGGTGTGAATATCCCTAATGTAAATTAAACTAATGATACAGAAGTATAGATTAACCTCTATAGATGACTGATATAACAAAAGCTATACCTCTTCTACAATTGTGCAGTTTTCAATCTGGCTGCAGGTTGGAGCAGTTAAGGAGCTTGAAAGCACCCCTCAGTCATGACTAAATTGATAAGAAGTTTATCACATACTCTGTCATTTCTCAACTGGCATTAAATGATAACATAAATCCACTAATGAAAATGCATTTGGAAAAAATGTGTATCACTTATTCAGTCAAATTCTATACAAAGTTACAACGAAACAATAGACAACAGAGTTGACTGTTTATTCAGCACTATGTGCTAGAAATGCATAAATGAAATACGTTATGAATTCAAGGGAGGTTCATTTTGTGAGGCAGAATTGTAAGTTCACAGATGTACAAAATTATTAAAATGTTGACTATACTGTAAAAACACAGGTACTGTAAAAAATAGGTCATAGCAATTCACATGGTTAGGAAATGAATGGGCTTTACTCCATCACTATTTCCATGTCATGTCTTCATAAAAACAAACAGAAGATTGAGTTCTGTATTTAGGATTTTAAGAAAACACTTGCCTCTTGTTTGTCACCAAGTGGTGATATATCACATTTGTTATTAAGCAAGTCCAAAAGCACAGATTTCCTTCCCTTCTTTTCTGGACCATTGTACATGGTAGGATTTTTTTCATGGATCTCTTAATTCTAATACCATATCTTATGTATGTTATATCTTTATGTCCAATATTTGGCAGCCAGAATCCTGACCAGGTTTAGTGCAAGTGATCACATTACTCCTATCCTGGAGTCCTTGCACTGGCTTCCTGTCAAGTTTGGTGTCAACTTCAAAATCCCTCTGCTCACCTATAAGGCTCTACATGGCTTGGCACCTCAGTAGCACCGACAGCTACTGTCGTCCTACTCCCCACCTTGCGACATTTGCACTTCTAATTCTGGTCTCCTGTCTGTCCCCCAAACCACCTACACTTTATGGGGTATGGGCTTTCTCCTGTTGTGCCCCAAAGCTCTATCCCCAAGGACGTCAGGGAGTCACTTTCTCTAAACTCCAAACCTTCTTCTTTAGAAGAGCCTTTACCTAACTGGTTCTGTTCTTAACCTCTCTGCTCCTACTGTAATGTCAGTACCCCCACCTACTCTCCTCTCATTTTGTATTCTCATTGTGCATATCTTGTATCATGTATTTTTTTTATTGTTGTTGTCGTTCTGTAAAGTGCTTTAAGAAGCCACCATTAAAGGTGCTATATAAAAATAAAGTTTATTATTATTATATCTTCAAATAAGACTTGGGAGATTTTAAGGCAACTTCATTATGAAATAGTGAATAGTCTTGAGGAATAGCTGTACAAATTGTCCATAAAGCTGAAATCCTACAGTATAATACTTGAATAACTTGTGCTTTCAATTGGGGGTAAACCTGTAGTGGGCACTATGGGGACACATTGTACTTCATGAAAATAAAGCAAATAAATGATGCAGTTGAACATTTTGCTCTTAAAATTCCTACATAAACTAAAGTAATTTCTAACAGAAGTCCGGGAGGAAGATTAGTTCGCTCACCTACAGTACATATTTGAGTCTTGCACCCGGGGCTTCCTTTCACATATTTCTGTCACTACCCCACCCCCATCTTTCCCAACATCCCCATCTGCACTCTTGTAGCAGCTCCCTAGCTCACTCCTCACATTGCGAGGGGGGTGTGGGCAGCCTGTCCCAATGTCTGCTCCCTCCACTAGACGAGTCACATCAGATACGCTCTTCATACTCCTTCCCTCTATCACATTAGGATCTAACCGAACTGCTGAAATGCTACATGGACGTGAACTACTTTTGTTAGCTCTTCATTATAGAGCATGAGCATTACACATTTTAAATTGTAACCAGCTGTAAAAGGCCGCTAACACCATTGAAATACACAGCGCACAATGATAGAGATTACACACCAAAAAGGAAACATAACAGAGGGCGTATGATTTCTTTAACATTGGGTGCTGGGACCTTCTAAATGTATCAAATAAATCAAATAAACTATGCATGATACAGACAAAATTTTAAAAAGTAACAAATGAACAGCAGTATTTCTTTTGTCATTTTGCTTGCTTTTTGCCTTCTCCTTTGGGACCACAATTCTAGCTCCAACTGAAAGAAACCCATAAAAGGAATACAACCGTAGTGCAATATTATATTTATTTCTTACAGTAAATTTTGGTTGCCATACAAGAGTATTGAGGATTTGGGGGAAAGTGCAGTTACAGGAACTTCTCTTTCTTTTTTTAAATAACTCTAAATAAGAGGATTTTGTAGCACAAAATTACAGCAACATAGATAACATGAACACAAGTCTTTACACAAAGTAGAGCGAGAAACATCTTAATATCTATGAAGAATTAAAAAAAGAAAGAAGAAACCAAATTGAAATTGATCTCTAAGAGAATATAAATTTTAAATGAGATTTGTGGCGCACAGACGTTGTTGCCAGATCCACTGGGTGATGGTTCTTTATTTTTGTTTAGAACTCAAGACTCCACTATTTTGCTCTAAAGTTAGTTCCACAAATAAATTAGCTTAGTGATATGTAATTCCATAAAATCAATTTGTCAACAGTCACATCTAGTCATTTTCTTTAAATATATACGTTAGCGTAAAATGTGCTCAGACCCTTTGCTATAAAGTGGCCTGAAATGTTATACATAATTTACATTCTGTGAGATTTTGGTCATTTATACACACATTATACACAAACTAAGCAATTGTAATTTTAAAATTTAATTACAATATGTAACAGATGCAGGTGAATACCTTTACCGGTGACTATAATTCAGTGTGTCTTAATGCCAATTCTTTAATCGTGGTAACTTATTTCCTTTTTCCATATATTTATGACCTGGGAGTTGCAATATTATGCTCAAAATTCATAAACTTGAAAATAACTACCAAGCTGATCCATTCAATATAAATATTGCTTCTAAATTGGTACCTCATAAATCCAATATAATTATATATTTGGCAAACCATACTTAAGAGTTGATGCAGTAACATTATATCCAAATAGCTTTATAAAATTTCATATAATTTTCTATAAATCATTAAAAATACTGTGCTTTCTTGAAGCTCTGTTGTTTTAAAATAAGATCTATTTAAAAATTATATAGTTAGCAGCTTATCTCTTGTATATCTTCTCAAAGAAAGACTGTATTCCCTTTTTTTCCAGGACTAAAATGTATAAAAGTGAAGAATTTGTAGAGTTAACATCTGTTAACCATTACATCCAGTATTTAATCATGGAGGAAACAGTTTCGAAAGTGCAAACAAGCAAACTGTCTCACAATGCTGATGGCTCATTCATCCCACTGTAATTCACATATACCTTTGTCACAAAAGTAACTAGCATACAAGATTCTCTTATCATTTACCTGGAAAAGGGAACACAGACAGTTTAAATCATGCTTGCTTTCAAAGAACAGTTCAGATAACATCAGCTTTTGAACTATTTTATTGTGCTGAGTAGTTTTCACCACATGAATATTTATAAGCAGTATTTTTTCAATTAAATGGTTTCCTTTAAAGATTAAAAATATTTCTTTCTTCTATAAATCTTCTCTCTGTGCATGTTAAAAGTGATCAGCATCCCATTTTCGGAAATCTGAAAATACCTCTGAGCTTGGCTAAGCAATGTAGATCCCTCCTATTTTTTTTAGCTCTGAAACTCTGAAACAGAGTCTTTTTAAGTTTTTGTCCCTTTGAAAAAGAGTCATAGTGAGACAAAAGAATCGATTTTTTTCAAGCCCCAAAAGGGCCTTATGCTATTTAAAACAATGCATATAATTTTCAGAGTTTTCCTTTTTTATCAATATCTGGGATTACCTGACATAATATTGGACATGATATTGTAACTGTAATATTGGATGATTCTGTTTTTGATTGTAGCCATGGTAGCAAAGAAATGTAGAAACAAAACCTGAAATGTGAAACTCTCAAATATAAAGTTGCCCTAATCTGTCCTGCATTTTAAATACTGTATTACAAAAGTATTGTAATCAGTACAGGAAAACAAACAAAGGTTCGGAAAGTACCAGCAGTCACTGAAATTTCATATTATTCTCAAAAGGCAGTGACCTGAGAATAAAGTTGAGAACTACCTACGCGCATTAGATCCCTTTTATTCAAAATGTGTGTTCACAGGTTTGGAAGTCCTCTTGAGCAGGTACAATGGCATTGCTTAATCCACTCCCATTTTGTCTTCTGAATTTTCAGGGACACCTCATAACCATTCAAGCAAACCGCATCCAATGCATTAAGAAACCCTGATTTCTCAATTGTTTCTGTGATTTAAACTTGGAGAGACCAGCAGCTTTCATAAAATATAATACAGAGTTAAACTGTACTCAAAATATCCCACAAAATTCATTTCCAAGTTGGCTAATTGAGATAATAGACAATGTCGTCCAGAACTGGAAGCATTAAACTAAAATCTAATAAAGATATAGTGTGTATATATATATGTGTTTAAATACATGTTTGGATAGCAGCATAAAATCTCAAAACACTTTCACTTCCACTGCAACTATGCAGCACAGTATTGGTCTATAGCTAATGTCTTAACAACTAATAGAAGACACTGTACTTGTAATTTGATTTCAAGATTGTAGGTCAATCCAACTTGGACAGTAGAATACTGAAAAAGAATGAGGTGGGATCATTTACTTTTTTTCTGATATGCTGGTTTAAGATCTTTTTAATTCAGCCTCTTAAAACATGGCCAGCCTTCCTTTTTCAACAGAAACCGCTTATTTCTACAAACCTCGATACAGAATAATACCTGATAAGTAATTGACACACAAGCTCCTGTTTAGAAAGGGATACAGGGCTGTTAGTAAAGCTGTGATGCTTAAATGATCCAGCATTATGCCCACCTAAATGGATTATAATTCATAGATCAAATTCAGAAAAAAAAGATAATGGCTCAAATTTTGTCAAATAGAAAACATCTTTCTCATTACAATAACCCATATTCGCTGGCACATCTCTGAAGCTCCGAATTAATATTTAAAATAAAACTCTAGGAAAAAAGTATGGACCTCGGAATTCACTACTCAGTCCATTCACCTGCATTCATGTGGAAGACAATAATGATTAATTTACACTTTACACTTTTCAGACGACTCAGAAAAGAAAAAAAAACTTTAATATACTGAATCAAAAAGAAAAATATCTCCTAACCGAAGGAAGAAAGTGAAAGCAAAAGAAAAACATAACTGCTACAATTGTGCCCCTATAGCTGTGAAATAGGTGCAAAATGTTAAGGAGTGATTTTTCAAGTAGAACACCAACGTTGGGACTGTATGTATATATGCACTGAAAGATGAACAGATTTAGCATATATTGTAGCTTGATCTTCTTTCCAGAGAAAAAGGTGAGAAGCGAGACAATTTTCGCAACAGCTGATGCATTGTTAAATATAACCCCTTTTTTGAAGAAATATTCTCTGAAGAAATTCTAGCAAAGATAGAAAATGTAACACAGCTCTGCTGGTTCGGGTGCATCCAAATGAGGTTGATTTAAAAAGTTCTTATATTCCAAAGCAATGGTCTCTATTATATCACAAAAAAGGAATCTCACTTTTTTTTCGTATCTTCTTGCCTCTGCAGCAGAAGGAGGTGGCTCAATGTACCAACCACTTGCTTTCATGAGAATTATTGTGCTTATTAACGAACTGCACAATTATTTCAAAATTGCAGTTCTTAAAGATATGATAATTCCTATACTCCAACAAGAGCTGATGTGAATATAATTACACACTTGATATCAATCAAAAGATGGATGAACTTTGAAGCCTGGAGTCCTGTAGATAACAATCACCCTTTCTTATCTGTCTAGTAGCAATTTCAGTGCTCTTTCTATGTTCATTCGATGCCCAACTCTAGTCACTCCTAGGTCTATTAAATCTTCTTTTTGTAGGTTTGGTAGATGGGTCCCATCGATTTCATTGTCCATAAAGGTGTCCTTATGCTCTCCCAAATTGAGGCTTTCCAGCCAGTCTGCTACATCGTGCTTCGTCCATAGATGGACTGGCTTGGTTGAGAAAGGCTTGTTGGAAACTGGCTGTATTAAAGTTGAAGGAGAAGGTGATCTACTCCGGCCCGACCCCAGACTGAATCTTTCCCCTGGAGTGGGAGGCGTAGGAATCCCAAAGACGTCTGTCAGCGTGGGGGAAGAGACCGTGGGCGGGAGGGAGGAAGGCCTGATGTCTTTCCCTGTGTCTGGCGGTGACACTAAGGGGCTGGGAGCCCTCCGTGCAGCAGGAATACTGTCAGAGTTCCTACTCTGAACTGTCACTGGCTGGTTCGATCCCGGCCGGATGGCGAATGTGACCGTTGTGTTCCGCTGTGTACCTGAGGCTGTAAGAGTACCGTCCATTCCCCTGAAAGAAAAGGGACACAAGTAGAATTAGAGGAGTCTCAGTCCCTGCACACATCTGACACTACTGCACCCCATCTCAAATGCCACACAGTTCTCAAAAGGCATTAATAAACAACAACCAAACATTTGTCAACCATGTGCTTCATCTTCCAATAGATTTCACAACCACAGCCTTAAATATCACTCCCATCTCCACAGAAGTAAAGAACTCGGCAGTCTTCTTGACAACTTATCAGCAACATATTAAACGACACACTGTATTTTGTCTTTGAAACGGATGTGATATTTTTTGTTTTACATAATGGAAATTTAGTTTAATAAGATGGGATGTTATATTATTGTCTAGTGGGAATAGTGGATTGTGGATTGGTGTAGAAAAAAGCAAAAAAGGTTTAGTCATAGAAAATAAAAAATCCAGACTTTAATTTCTGTTTCCCTCCATTCTTAGTACTCAGAACTGGTAACACATTGTGCTTCATCCTGAATACCTTACTTGATGGTTTTCAATCAAGTACATATTTATATACTACTGGATATTCTGGATTCTACTGGCAAAAGACACTTACAATTGATTAAAAGTAATTTTAATACTGTAATATTATACAGTAATATTTTTCTATTAATGTAAACTGTAGTGTGTTTATTCAGCTATTTTGACTGGATAGGTTATTTTTCTTTTGTTCTCTAGCTATAGGAAAACTAGAAAAGCAGTTGAAACTGGGAGGTTAGATTTCAGGCTAGATTTTAATTAAATTAATTGTTTTTATTTTTAAATATAATACAAAGTGATCCCAGTGCATTTCTGCAAAATATGTTGATTTTCTTTAGGCCAGGATAAAGAATTGAGGTTTAAAATGCTTTCTTATCTTACTCACAAAAAGAAAAGAATAAAGTTCTAAACCCTGCAAAACAAAACTGAAACATGCCTAAAATCTGACCTGGTAAATTAAGACTGGCATACAAATTCTCTTCCCTGAGCTCTGTCCAGATTAATCTATGAGCTCGGTGCTTTAAACAGATTTATTCTTTATTACTTTACGTGCTTACAGGAAAGATTGCTTTGTAGTGAAAATGAAATCAAAAGTAAAAGGATTTCAGAAAGATATCAATTTATGATGCTTCATTTACCTTGTGTATTGGAAATAACACATGGGAACATATATTTTCAATTTTCTCTCTCTTTTTTGATGAAGTGAGGAAAACACTTGAATACGTGAATATTTGGAGATGAGGGATTTAATTCCTTTGGTCCCAAGCCAGAACCTGACACCCCTCAGGTTAAGCAGAGCAGGGACTGCAGACAGATGGAGACCCCCAGCCCAAGAATCTCATCCTAGCCATGTGACAATTCCCCTGCAGCTTTAGCCATGAATGCTGTATGCTCTGGTCCATGGCTGTGCAATGCAGAAATAATACTAAGCATTTAAGGACATTGTTTTTTCTGGCTTTAGTAAATCTGCAAAGAGAATATTTTAGCCAGGCAGATTTTTGTACCTTTTTTCAGTTTAAATAATGATAAAATATGGGAAAAACAAAGCTAAGGACACAGAAATATGAATTTATAAAAATAAAACAAACAAGTGCAAAGATATATTTGCATCATGTGTTGACATGCATGCTTCAATGTATTACTATTGTAATGTGGCACTCTTATTTCACCACAGATTTTTTTTCCTTTCTTGAAACATAAAGGCCTTGTTACTGACTAATGATCGTCATTTGCAAGGAAGTAGGTCATCTATCCCCGTCTATTCTATTTAATAAGCACTGTCAAGTAGCACTGGAAAAAATGTAAAAATTAGGTTCTGTTTGTTTTATGCAATGGAAGTTAATGTTATGCTTTGTCTTTGTTGCAAAGCAGAACTCCTCGATACCAGTGTGATGTTTTTAAAACAAATCTCAAGTACAGAAAACTGAGCAAAGATGGCTATTCTCAAAAGAGACATTAGAGGGCTCCATCGTCAATAAATTTAGCCTAACATCCAACCCCCTTCAGTTTTCCTTTAAACATTTAGAATGATAAGTCTATTTGCAAACATATTAAAGCCTTCATTTCCAAGTTTAAGAGGTGATAAGGATTAGCAAGATGAGTGGATTAGCAAAAGACAGAAAACAACTTTTTTGTGTGAGTAGGCAAAACTGACCCAATTAAAGTTTTGATCAACCAGTTTATTTATCACCATGGCTTTTTGATGATTTAAAGAGACATGGAAAAAATGTAGGATTCCAGACAGAGTTTGGAATCCCACTTCTAGACAGAATGTTTCCATGAATAAAAAACTACTTCATTTGTACCAGAACTCATAAGCATGGGACCACAATTTTTACTTAACAGACATGTTGCCAAGAACATAATCTCTTAAATATACATACATTTATAATGCGGTTCTCTTTTCTTTAATGCTGATGGTCCAGATTGTCTGTCATTGGATGTTGATTTGAACATGGTTTTATAGGGTACAATATTCAAATGATAAAATCCTGATAAAGCAACGTCATTTAAGTCATCACACATCTAGAGAGAAGTCTAAGGACTAGACATAAGGGAAACCTAGGAGTTAGTCTGACTGAAGAGGTAAAGGGGTGAGAGGGCAAACTTGAAAGAGCATATTATTTTTACACATATCTAGCACTTGCTTAATAGCTGACTGGTATATGTATGCTGGCCACATTACTCTAAGCCTTGTTTTAAATATCGGATAGGAGACCTACTGCCTCCCAAATAGAAGTTGAAACAATGGAGTGCAAATATAAAAACCATTCTCCCTTTGCTTATGCTGTGCACTCTATTCCACCACCTGTCATCATGATGGACTCATGAGTTCTAAAAATGTTGGGTGCTTTGCCAAAGATAAAGAGTGCCTATTAGCTTACAGCTGTAATAAAAAAAATAATTAATTAAAAAGCAGTGTTTACCTACTATTAGGAGAGATTAGTACTGTTCTAGGTGAAGTTAAACGTGGTTAAAGTAAGTTTGAGGGTCTCTAAATTCATAAACCCCAAATCCCTAATAAGTTACAAATGAAAATCACGTTTTTCCAGACATGTTTTTTTTAAACAGGTGCTCAGTTTTCTCTCTGAATTCAAGATGTGTAGAAAAGCGTGAACTCATAGAAAATGTTAAACCAGATGAGATTGAATGCAATGGCCCGAGAAGTTTTTAAGTTTAATTGACGAGTAAAGAGAAGGTGATTGAAGAGGCTGGGAAAGAGCTCCGAAAACACCCGGATATCAAATAAATTACAGCTCAAGATAAAGGAAGCGGCTTGTTTGAACTGCCTTCCTCTGGGGAGGCTTCTCCGAGGCCCTCTATGACCCATCTGCTATGGGATCAAAAGCATCTTAGCAGGGAAATGGGAGCTGTGCAATGAAAATCATCCAGCTGCAGCTACTTTCAATTTGCCTCCAGTTCAATAGGTTCATTTCCTAATCTGGGCTTGCTTATTTACCGTTTGAGTGATAACTAATGTGAATTGGAAGAGGTGTGAAAAGAGCAAACCAGAGTAACCTACAGAAAGGCGTTTAGCCCCAGGAAGCACCAGGCAGCTGTGAGGCGGGGCCATGAGTAGGCATGGCTGCTTTTTTCTTGCATTGCCCTATCAAAGCATCTGACTCGATGCCACATGGGACAGTGGTAAAGCCGTCAGCCTTTTGCTTGTTATTCCCTTTAGTTTTCAGGCCTCGTTGAGCTTTCGGGGCGCACAGTCAGTGGCAGCTTGGGAAGTATTTCGGAGGTGAGCTCTGCCACTGATGAGCAACTGTGACCGCCTAACAGAATCCTAAATTAATATATCTGCCGTTAATTAAGATTTCAGCAAAGCTTGGATTTCCAGTCCGATTAAACACGAGCTCCCGCAAAATGCTTATTGTCACTTTTGAAATAATCAGGTTTTAATGATGAAGGCTGTTAGGGCACAAATTAAGTTTAGCCCTTGTCTTGATTCACATCAATGACATTTGACTGCTCAGCTTAGCCCAGAGGATTTGTCAGTGATGTGTTCTTTTAAGGGTTTTACCATAAAGCACAGAAATGTGAGATCTTGACATTGAAATTACATCTGCACATAATAGTTGCCATAGCTTGATTTTTAATATTTGCCTCAACGATGAAGTGCCTATTAACTAACAGCATAATATTTTTTAAAATTAAAAAGTAGCATTTACCTACTACCTTTATTAAACTATATCCAAAAGTTTAGATATTGCCAAGAAGCAAAAAATTCAACAATTAAAAATTATTGGATAACCAAAACCTTAATTTGAAGGAAACAGATATGGTTTATAAATGGAAAGGCAAACAGTGTTTAAAGAAACAACTTAGGCCACAGTGTAAGCAAATGTCTTAGCTAGACAAGTTTTTAAAAGGATTTTCAGAATATTTACTGGTTCTTCTCAAAATGCATGCAAAAAAAAAGTGATTCGAAAGTAAATGACCTTGTATGTATGGACTGATTTTGTTATGCAGCCAAGAAACGGATTATTTACAGCTACTTAATCGTCAAGTCCAATTAAAAGAGATCTTGAAGATTGAGCATTTTGGGAAGAAAACACCAATTCTGAAAATGAAACAAGAAAGATGTGGGGTCATATTTAAAAACCACACAGCACCAGTAAAATTACAATTAAACAGCAGCACATCTAATGCTGAGCTCCTGTATGCTTTATAAATATGGCCCAATTTTTTTATAAATGACATAAAAAAGGAGTACTGTAGATTTACGTGGTATTCATTTAGCAAATGATTTTCCTTTCAGTAAACATTTTTCAGAACCAGAAAATGACAAATATAAAGAAACACAAATAAGTAAAATGCTTGACAGGAGTGTAACAACCAAAAAGAAAGCAGGGTTAAAGGTGTTACTTTCCACATTTTACTAAATGCTCCTTGCTATGTTATTTGTCTCTACACTTCTGAAGTCCATTCAGATCAATCCTGTTGATATGGCATGTCAAGACGTCTATTCTCTAGTGGACCCGTTACAATAGCATTCTGCTTCTTTA